ATGCTGGCCGCTTTAAATTCTTCCCCTTCTGAATCTCAAGGAAATAGAACTGGCAAAAGGAGAGATGACTCGGGTCTGTACTTCTGAAGACCATGAAGATTTTGAAGAGAGTGTGGACTCAATATAACAATTTGGGGTTTGGGGTAATATAGAATAATTTTGTCTTAAGCTAATGAGTGGTGGGATTGTGGCGAATGTCTGGGTACGTTCCCCCAGGACCAATCAGTCCCCGGAAGGAGGGCCTATACCCTCCTGACCCTTGAGGCCTCCGAGGACTGAGATTAATCATGATTATGATTTAGTTCAAGAGTAATTTGTAAATATATTGTAAACTACTATAATGAGCTAAGACTGCTTGAAAATTTATAAATAATACTTTGTAAAAATTTTGGGAGAAGTAAGAAAAAGGAAGATGACGAAGAAGACAAAGCGTGCATGTGAAGTGTTGTTTTTTATATTATTAATTGATTGTGGTGGTGGGAAAATTATAAAATTCTTTCTTCAATAAAATTGCTTTAAAATTAAAAAAAGACAAAGTTTAATTCTGGGTATAAGCTTTTGTGTGCATGCACACTTCTTCAGTTTTTACAGCAGTAGGTCTCATGAATGCTTGTCAAAATATACATGTCCTTCACAGGAGAAAGGCATGCCAAAAATGTTTTAAAGGAAGGAACCTGTAGTTAGATGCACTTGTATAGCAGAGTTTTGACATCTGTTTTAGTATAGAGGAAAAAACATTACAGAGATAATACCTTTATTCAGTCTTAGTTGCCCTTATCCTGAGTGAGGCCTTTGGTCCATCTAGCTCAGTAATGTCTATATTGTCTAGCAGCAGCTTTTCAGAGTCTCAGCCAGAGAGAGGTCTTTTCCAAGACCCAGTATTTGAGATGGTTATGCGAGGGATTGTAGCTGGGACCTTCTGCATGCAGAGTAGGTACATAATATGCTAATAAACGAAGTGGCCTTATACGAAGTCAAACAAGGTTCTTGTATTGTTTATTGTTTATTGTATGGGGGGGCAGTGTTCCTTCTAAGCTGAGTTAGTGTGAGCTAGCTCAAAGTTTAGCTTCCGGCTCACTCATTTTTGTTTTAGCTCAGGAAGGATGGCTCCAGAGCAAATTAATTTATGCAGTAGCTAAATCGCTCACTTACAACTTTAATGCCAGTTGCTCACAAAGTAGAATTTTTGCTCATAAGACTCCACAGCTTAGAGGGAGCACCACTTTCTCCAAAACTCAACATAGTTTTATAAACCTGTCTCCCCCTTAGGCATGTTTTTTGAAAAACAAAACCCAAACACTTTAACCTTTCTTCATAGGGAAGAGGCTTTTAAACCAAGAGTAAAGTGTGTCTCTGAAACTGTATCTCTACAAATGTTTGGAAGGCAGTGAACAGAAAAGAAAGTCATTCCAATAGCAAAGAAAAAAGGATAATTTGGCTAATTCAGTGTGGCATGGGGGGAATGAGTTCACTGACATTTAATTTCATATCCAGCCAGTACATTTTTGCCACCACAGTTTCCTCCTACTCAGTGATGCAACAGAATCACATTGTAATGCAAAGTTAGATTCCACTCCTGTCAGAAGCACTTGCTCGCTTCACTACACACCATCCTGGATGGCCAATTACTGGAATGAAATGGAGCAACTCTGCTCATGGCAATTGCTGGTAAGACATTGAAGAAGAAAGGTAAAGAAGGTCAACCAGCCATTTCAGATCATCAGAGGAAGAGTAAATTTTAAAGAGAGAGTTTATGAGAAACGTTAGTTTGTGCTTTCCCAAGGCCTTCCCTAGATTTCAGTACTATTCTGGATGCTGTGCAGCAAACTGATAGGAACATAGGAGATGCTAGTGAGAACTGGACTAGACATGATGGGTGGGCCCCAAGCAAATAAAAAACAGGGACTGGAAGGTTTGTTGTGAACCACATTGCAGCTTACCTATCCACAGTTTGTCCCCTTACCCTCTCTTCACTTCCTGCTCGGAAGCCTGGCTGGGGAACACTTCCCTTTGGGGACAGACTGTGGGGGAAGTAAACAGTGTGAAGGATGGGTCCTGCACCCCTCAAGCACACGTTCCTTTTGTTGCTCTCCCAGTGTCAGAGCCCCCCCTCTTTTGGTGTGATTAGGGCTGACCCAGGTTTAAACACATGAATCTGCCAGAGTTATGCACAGTTTGAATTTCTGTAAGAGAAAGCACACAAGTTTTAGTGAAGCCAGAAGTTTTGTGAAACTCTCACAGAACAAGCTACTGGGAATGTACCCATACCAATCTGATTAAAATGAAAGGGAACTGAACAATTCACAGTCATCTCTGGGAGGTCTGAGAGTTGTTCTCAGTAGACTGTGCCATAATTCTTTCAGTTAAAGATTTGTTGCCCTTTTCTATCTTATCCAAGAAGCTTTTATCAAAGCAGTACCATATCTATCCAGTACCTAATGCAAGACCAACTGCCTGCAGAGATGAGCCATGTGAATGGAAGACAGAGTGAGTTTTACTATACTGGAATAGGGAAAATGTTATCCTCTAGTGATACTCACTCTACTTTGGTGTAAGGAATCTCTCTTAATTGTTCCTCAGAGAGGCCAGATGGATCCACGAGTTCCTTCCTGGAAAAGGATCTGACATTATGCTATTGCACACATAAAAATAGAGCAATACTACGTTCACTAGTAGCAGCCCACCCCCGCTGTAATACATACTGAATGTGTTTCCATAATTCTTCCTTTGCTTGCACATCTGGACTTCTCCTATAAATGCCAAAAAAAAAAGAGATTGTGTCTTCATAAACCTGAGTAAACCCCAAACCCCAAAACTGTGCCAGCCAAGAACAGTGATTTTAACATTGAATTTTCAGTAGAACGTCTCATTTAAATTTCCATGATGCGTCACGACTTGTCTATCTCAAGCCTTTAGAAAAAGTACACATAAGACACAAGCTGTTTAGCAGAAGCACAGCCAGGCAAGAGCAACATCAGCTAACTGGAAATAGGATGGTTTTGTTTTAAACGTTACAATCATTTTCAGTTAACATCCAGTCACCTAATGAATCACGCTGTCAAAAAACAAAAAAGCAAACATAAAACATGCATCCATCTCCATAGAGTACCACTATTGCCTTCCAGAGGAAGAAGAACTAAACTCACAAGAGACCCATAGCGTGATTTTCCTCTGTATTTTACCCCGAGGCTATCAAATACTATGCATGAGTTTACGGTTGTGTTTGTATTTTTATGTTCCTCATATTTCTCGGCTGCCTTCTCTTGTTTCCCTTCTGTTTCCCCTCCTAAGTGCATTGGTGCTTTTGCCTCCCTAAGGCAGAAGCCTGGTGCACTAGTTAATATTATGAAAAGGTGGGAGGAGGGGGATTTTAATTATATCTTTCAGCCTAAATGTTGAGCTGCTTTCTTCTTTCATTAAGTCCCATTCACCCAAAGTGGCAGCTGTGAACTCTGCATTTACCCCAAGGAGCTGGCATCCCCTTCTGAATAAGTAATAATCAGGCATCAGAGGATGAAAAAACAATCTGTGATGAATCTCAAATTCTCTAGGGAGACGGAGTGAAATGCTTTGATAAGGGCTTATGGCTCAGCTAGCATAGCAAGAGAAAGCCCTGAGGTCAGTGCTTAGTTCAGCATTCTCAGCATGCTCACATACTGTGACATCCACCAGATTAAGATGCATTAGTAAAAATGGACCCAGGATACGTCACAGGCCCATTTATTGGCAACAATCATACATGCCCTAATTTTATAAATGTTAGATGAAAAGGCACTTTTTGATTTTTTAAAAATTATTTGTTAGGAGTGTTACATCATTCATGTACATGCAATAGTTTAATTGTGAAAGTTAGTAGTGTGGCATAGTGGCTTCCCAGTTCAAATCTCACCTCTGCCAATATCTTAATAGGTGGCACTAAGGCACTCTCTCCCAGCCTCAGTCCCATTTTTAATATGTGGATGACAAAATTCATCTACTTTGAAGGATTATTGCAGGGATTACAACAAACCATGCACATGAAGGACTTTAAGCACCTGAAAGTACTATAAAAATGCCAGCTATCAACACAGCCAGTTAAATATGTAAAATATATAAAGAAAATGTAGCCCACGTCCCTCATATCTGTGGTCTTCAGCTCATGGGTTGGAGCCTTAAGATGGGTCACAGAGCCTTGCCTTCTTGGTTGCAAGCCCCATACAGGAAGATTTCTTTTTGCAGCCTTTGGGGAGACATGCTATGAGTGTGCCTATGTCGTGGGCAAAAGTGCTGTCTGTTGCCTTTCTGATGCCATGGGACTCCCCCTCACAGGGGACCTCTGTCTTGGATCCCTGTACACTTGCACATCTTAGCATGGGCCTAGCAATGAAAAAATGGAGTCTGGGTCAAACTGATATCAAAATGACAGTGAGTCACGCTGGGGGCATGCAAGGAATGTGATGCAACTCCTTTGTTAATCCTGCTAAAGCTATATCTGGTGGGAGTCTTTCCCCCAAGGGACCTAAGGGGTACCCTCCCTGATAATCTGGCCTTAATAATGACCCAGATAATCAAGACAATGAGCAATGGGCCAGCCCCAGCCATTTCCTCCTTATCAAGTGCTGAAAATTTCTCCCTCTACTTCATCATGAAAAGTACTCAGCTATCCACTTGCCTATCTAAACTCTCTCCCTAAAGGAACATGTCTCGTTGATACTTTTACCTGTAATGCAAAAGAAAGCACTATCTTCCACAATGTACACAAAAAGAACCCTTTTCAAATTAGCTCATCTCTGGAGAGAGAGACTTTTCTATCTCCCACATTCCAATGCCAACACCTTTTCCCCTCAGTCTTAGCAAAAATGTATAAAAAGCCATCCCTCAATCCATCCAATTCGTAGCAGGTTTTCCATCCCACTCTGTTACCCCAACTATACAGTTGGCTTCTCTACTTTTCCACCCCATTCTGCTGCTCTTCTCCAGAGCTGCCCACCTGTCTTCAGGAAGAAGGCTTATATATCTTTGATTCTCACCTTTCATTTTCTCCCTTAGTAGCAGGTAGTTTGTTAGGGAAAGGATTTAAACTGTGTTTGTGTACTTCACATGTGCATTTATTTGCCTTCTGTAGCACCTTTATTTTTATTTACCTGACTTAACTTGGTTCTCTTCTGTTAATTTAATATTTATTTTCTTATTTAATAAGCTTATTGCCCTCCGTTTGTTTTGAGTGTTGGTCTGTATCTCAACCCCCATACACACAGGTTACAGTCTGGGCAATTAATACCCCACAATAGATGTGTTTTCTCTTTGCTAGCAGAAGGACACTTTTGTGAGCTACAAGGGCTGCATGTGAATGAGTGAATTGGGTAACACTTCTTTGCATGCATATTGACAAGAGTGGCAGATGTGTGAGACATGGTGGTCACTCACTGGAGGAGAGGATTCCTTGATGACTCTGTCCCTCACTGCAGTATACCTCCTAGTGCTTGGCATGTGCTTCCTACCCATGGGTCTCTTCATCTTGGTTTTCAGACTGCTGAAGCCAGAATTCTAGCTCCCCTTCTTCTGGTCATGTGACTGTGATGTCAGGTTCTTACAGCTCAGTGGGTCCCATACTGCTTGGGGATTAGGTCTGGAAAGGCTGGCCTATTGCCTGATATCATTAGCCATAAACACAGTTGTTTTAAAGTATAGTCACACAGAGAAATCTATGCTTCAAGGCACTTATGGCTACAAATAAATCAGGTGGTTGGTATACTTCCAAAAACAGGGATGCCCCCTGCCATGGCATTCTCACATGAGTTAGGAACACATTGGTTATTTGAAGCAAAACCAAAGCCACCACTGTTTGTGTGAATCTCATGGTTTTGTGCGGAAACCATTGGTCTTGCCTACATATCCAACTATCCAGCACTGGCAAGATTAGAGAGAAAAGAGGTCCTTTAACACAAGCAGATGGCTTCAGGCTGGTACATCCTGTATGATATCAATGACTGCCCTTCAGTAAACCTGTACTGACTTCTGAACATTGTGCAGCTGCTTATTGTTTCTAATGCCATAATCTAATAAGTAGCTGTAATGAGCTGGTTGGCACCGGCTTTCTTTGGACCAGAACCTAATCCCAGCCTCAGTGGCTGGCTGAATATCCATCAGCACCACAGCTTTCCCCTTTAGAGAACAGCTCTACTGCAAAACAGGTTTACTAGGGATGGAGCAGGTTGCTTCTGGCCCCTTGTGCATGATTCTAAAAGTCAACAGAGTCAGGCAAGATTTCCAGAATGGGTGCCAAAATTTGTGCCAGATATGATTTGCAGCCAGCTTCGCTCCACTTGCCTGTGGTTAATTCACCACAGCTGTGCAGCTAAAATTGCCCATTAGGACCAGAATGCCCATTACTACCAGTTCTTTCTAATCTGACCCACCAAGGCCTGGTAACCCCATCAAGGTCTCTAGAAGCTTTCTGGTTGCAAAAACAGGGAGCTGCAGCACCTGACAGGCCACGATGCATGGCTGCTGGGGCCATATTCAGTGTGGTGGGTGGTGCAGGTTAGCTCTAAAGGAGGAATTTCATCAGTGTGGCTTTCTTTTTTTTTACGAATTCTAGCCAGCCACATATGCTAACAGCATCTATGTTAATGCTATGATTGCATCTTCACCCTTATTAATAAGAACATAAGAGAAGCCATGTTGGATCAGGCCAGAGGCCCATCCAGTCCAACACTTTGTCACACAGTGGCCAAAAACCAGGTACCAACAGGAGGTCCACTGGCGGGGCCAGAACTCCAGAAGCCCTCCCACTGTTGCCCCTCAAGCACCAAGAATACAGAGTATCATTGTCCCAGACATATTGTTCCATCAATACCTTGTGGCTAATAGCCACTGATGGACCTCTACTCCATATATTTATCAATCCCCTCTTGAAGCCGTCCATGCTTGTAGCTGCCACCACCTCCTGTGGCAGTGAATTCCATGTGTTAATCACTCTTTGGGTGAAGAAGTACTTCCTTTTATCCGTTCTAACCCAACTGCTCATTAATCTTATTGAGTGCCCATGAGTTCTTGTATTGTGAGAAAGGTACTTCTTTCTCTACCTTCTCTATCCCGTCCATAATTTTGTAAACCTCAATCGTGTCATCCCTCAATCATCAGTGTGAATTAATTATCTACAGCTTCTAAAACTAAGCAATATTTTGTATTTCTAAGTACAGAATTTTAATGGCTGTTTGTCATTCTTGTAAAATAGCTCTTTGGCTACACTGGTATTTTGCTTGAATTTCTAGAAATGAGCCTTGCAGCACCAAAATGTGGCAAAGAAAACAGCACCCAGGAGGGGGCAGTGAGAGGCTTCAGTATGAAGTCTTACATAGTGCCAGTTCCTTACTGACAGGGAGGTACTGAGTTTCTCTGCTTCCTGTGCTGACTGGGGCTGAGAGAGAAGCCATGGCTCTCCTGCCCGGACTGCTCTGTGAGAATGCAAAGGCAGGAATGAGCACCCTTTTTGTGCATTGTTGGTCTCAGAGTCAATGGGTGTTGATCTACATTGCTAAATATTTGGGAAGCATTTTGCTATCGGATTAATTAAGAATAATGATATTTAACACTGGGTGTCATAATCTTAGACACTGTGTCTATACAGAATTATCTTTTAATTCATTGCAAAAACTGGATACGTTTTTCTTACTCCAACAGCAGTAAAGTTAAAGGGAAGCAAAGGCAAGAAAACTAGTCAGTTATTTGACTGTTAAAATTAAAACCTGAGTTTGCAATATTTAAATTGTCCACAAGAGGGCGCTTCTGTTATCTCTTTACTTACTGAACAAAATTAGGTTATATAGGTACATATATTAGAACACTATGAACTTTACCATGAATTCCCCAGACTATAGCCTACCCTGAAGTTCTGCGTCTTAGCCTGTAATTAGTTCTCCTGCCATCACTGCCTTTTTTGACAGAAAAAGTTGGATCCCTCAGTAGATTTCACTAAAGGGGGGACTGATTTTTACAAATTCTTTCCTTCTGTCGCAGACTTCTAGTGTCTCCCTCATGCTGTTGCTGGGGGTTCCTTGTACCCAAAGAGCAGCATTATGGGGATTATTTCAAGCTGCGGTATGCATGAACATAAGAGACACCAATGTTGGATCAGGCCAAAGGCCCATCCAGTCCAACACTGTGGCACACAGTGGCCAGAAATACCAGGTGCCATCAGGAGGTCCACCAGTGGGGCCAGGACATTAGAAGCCCTCCCACTGTTGACCCCCCCAAGCACCAAGAAGACAAAGCATCACTTGACCCAGAGCAGATAGCCACTGATGGACCTCTGCTCCATATGCTTATCTAATTCCCTTTTGAAGCCGTCCATGCTTGTAGCCGCCACCACTTCCTGTGGCAGTGAATTTGCATGTGGTGGGGTTTTTTTGCATGTGTTTTTTTTGGGGGGGGGAAATCCTGTTCCACAGAGGGAAATGCCTTCCCTTAGCAGAGATTATCCAGCTGTTCCATTCACTATCTAATAAGAACGTAGGAGTTTAAAGAATAAAATAATGCTCAGACTTGACATTTCAACTCCAACCAAAATGGTGCTTCTGTGAGAACAGCTTATTGCAAAAAAATTGGATCTGCCTATCACAGCTTGTGCTTACATTCCTTACATTTAACTTTACACAATGAGCAACACACTTTACTGGAGTGAATGATCAAGCTTCCCCACCACCATATTTCCTCTGAGGAAGGTTTAGTTTTTCTTTAAAATGTTTTGAAATGTTCTTAAGTAAAGCCTCTGGATTCCAACAATTTAAATCACCGTAACCATTTGATGCATGTAGAATCACAAAGAAACAAATGAGAGCCATAAATTCTAAGATGTCCAATGCAGTCCTAAACCTGGTTGCTCAGAAGTATTTCTAATTGAGCCCAGTGGGGTTTACTCCACAAAAACAGTTCTTAGGCTGAATCAAGTATCGGGCGGGGGGCTGTGTTACCCTACTGTGTTCAGTGGATTTCTATACATATATTATCCTCAGGATGCAGTACTGCACATCCTTATAATGTGAAATAGTTAATCTGATTTGCATGGAATTATTACCTAGTAGCAACTTTACACAAAGCCACAAGCTGCTTAAGCAACTACATAACATCACGAACAGATGCTGTAGTAAGTAATGGACTGGATAATAAATCTATTTTGGACATACATTTAGAGGGCATTCAGAGGTCTTTCTGAAACAAACTTCAGTATTGCCTTGGGTCCTTCCACCTGTGACCCTGGAGCTGTTTAGCATTTTTCTATTCCCTTCAACTCCACCAGTCTTGTTTTATTTTGTCATAAAAGAGGTATCTAAAACTCTCAAGCACAAAGAAAATTCTCTGATCAGAAAATATATATTAAGCATGAAACCAAAATGAAAAGTATGTAAGAAATCTCTACATTGAACATACATATTTTGAAAATATTATATATTTAATTTAATTAAGATAGTATGAGTATAGCAGCAAAACTGTCTAATTCGAAATGCACTGCTTGCATGGATTTCAAACATTAAAGACAAACACAAGAATACCACTTAGAACACAAGCGTGGAGTTCAGGGAATCAGAAACAAAAAACAAAACATCTGGTTGCCTGTCAAGGATAATAAATATTGGGGTTGGAATTTTACCTGGACTAAATGGCTATGACCCCAAACCATTTCACTGCATCTATCACTGTTCAGTCCTCTCCTTCTCTCCTGGATTTTGAAAATACCACTTGCAGTTTGACAGGAGCTATCAGAATGAACCTGAGAACCCCACACAGCCCTCTCTCTGTTATGTGGTTCTCTTGGATTGTGGCATAGCAAAACTCATTACTTTCAGAATCTACTTAAATTGAGTACACGAGCCCTAAAAGAATATTGCATTTGTAGCCAGAATTCTAGATATTTTGAAAAAGTTCAAGAGGATTAACATACGAGCGAGATCTGTGCCTGGATCGCCGATGGCTGGGGTCAGATTGGTTTTTCTCTTTCTGTCTCCTCAGCACTGCTTCCCACTGAGGAGCTGAATCAACCATCTCATTTTCCTGCCGTAACCTGCGGAAAGATTAACATATTAACAGTGAACATCTGAAGAATCAATGGTTTGTTTTTTGGTTATTATATCACTTCCAAAAAAGCACACATAAGCGTGTGAAGACCTATTAATTTGTACTTCACACAAGGTAACAAAGAACAGGAGAAAAGGAATGAACATTATGGGCAAAAATCCAGTGAATGTTAGGCATTTTTAAATCTCATCAATTTATTTCAATTGGAAGCATGTTTAACTCTTCCCACTGAATCAGTGGGACAAACATGAGTTAATAGCCTATTCAGAAGACAAGGAACAAAGGAGGAAAAGGTAATACATGTCTGCCCTACACAATAAGACAAAACAACTTCAGTCTGTCTTCTTGGGGTAATAGCAAGAGGAAAGTCCATTTTCCCTAAAGAGTATTACAAGGAGGAAAGACCTGAAGAACAAAGTTGCATGAACAATAAGCCCAGGGTTTCCAGATCCAAATTCACACTTAGCCATTGGAAAACCATGTTGGAAAACCGGCTCTTAGTCTACACTGACACAAAACTGAAGCAGTGCAGAATATCAACTTGGGCACAACGCATAGTAAAAAAATAATAATCTGGACCAGCATCTATACAGAACACCGAGCACCAAAATTTATTCCAAGAACATCTCTGTGACACTTGCTAAGGAAATTGCATTCTCTTCACACTATTCTTTACATAAGCTGTGGAGTCTTGTGAGCAAAAATTCTACTTTGTGAGCTACTGGCATTTAAGTTGTGAGCCAGTGATTTGGCTACTGCATAGATTAGTCTGCTCTGGAGCCATCCTTTCTGAGCTAAGTCAAAAATGTGTGAGTCGGAGGCTAAAAAACTGTGAGCTAGCTCACACTAACTCAGCTTAGAGGGAACAGATTCAGGCCCCTTTTTTGCATCTGAGTTTGGGTTGGCTCATTTCTGTTTTGGTGACATTTTGCTGTGCTGAGAATTTCTTCACAGTGGTGTGCACTCTTGACAGTTATGACAGACTGCACTTTTTAAAAGCTTAGAAGTGCTGTACAATTAGCTGAAGAACTAGGGGGAAAGTTGGCAAGGAAGTTTGGGAAGTAGACAAAGACTCCCATTTGGGTCAAGGAAAGGGGATAGATCTTCTAGAGAGAAGAAAATTCCATACCCAGTCAAACAGGGAGTTAGCTCTAAAGAGTGCAGAGGTCCCTGGTCTGGAGTGGTTAGAAACTGCCTGTAGAGACTTTAACAGTCAGTTAAAAACTCAAGAAGTGTACTGGTGTTTCAAGAGAAGGGGGTTGTGTACTGGAAAGAGGGTACCAGCCTTCTGGAAACCAAAAGAGTCAGCGAATACTTATAGAAAGTGTAGTACTGAAGTGTTTGGGGAAAACACTGGAACAAAAGCTCAACATGAAGATTTAAGTCACTGTGAAAAGCTTAAGAAATTCTCATTAACCTGAAATATAAGAACTAAAGTTTGTCCATGTACTGATTTTACTTGAGTTATCAATATTGAATTATCACAGAAATTTTACCCCTGATTTCACTTGACCTTTCCCTTCTATGTTAAATGAAATACCTTGTTATTTTTGAATTTCAAAACACCTTGAGTGCCATTTGTTTAAGTTAAAGCAGTCTCCTGAGCCTTCCCTCAGGTTCCTGGGCTGAGCCAACAGCCGAAATATTGTACTGTGACAGGGTGGGACAGCCAGGATTCTTCAGCAAAGAAGAAAACAAGTTACTAGGATGGCTTAGTCAGTAATGGGAAAGAGAAACGGAGGGAAAATCTTAACTCTGAGGGAGGGAAGTGGATGGGGCCATCATAACAGTGATAGCAAAATTGTCACTGATGAAACATATGACTCATGAAAGCATATGTTAGAATAGATTTTAAGTTCTTAGTCTTTAAGGTGACACTGGACTCCTGTTTCAGTTTGCTACTGTAGGCTAGCATGGCTACCCATATAAAACCATCAACAAAATTTCAAATCACCAAATGACCCCTGCTGGAAGAGAATAAAAGTTATCTAATCCCCTAAAGCAGGACCATCTACCTATGGTTTGCCAAAGATCAACCTGCACTGTACAAGAAGAAGAAGAAGAGATTGGATTTATACCCCGCCCTTCACTACCCAAAGGTGTCTCAGAGCGGCTTACAAACTCCTTTCCCTTCCCCTTCCCACAACAGACACCCTGTGAGGTGGGTGGGGCTGAGAGAACTCTGACACAAACTGCTCTTTTTCAAGGCCAGCTGTGCCAGAGCTTGTGACTGACCCAAGGTCACATCAGCAGGTGCAAGTGGGGAATCAAACCCGGTTCTCCCAGATTAGAGTCCGCGCACTTAACCACTACACCAAACTGGCTCTTACAACATTCCTTTACAGATACCTTTCTACAAAAGAAGAGCATGAAGAAGAAACACTAAGGACTAAGGTAAAACTGCAAGACGATTTGACCAGTGAAGTAATGTCTTTCCAACTGAAACATAACCAGTCAGACATGTCCTCAGTAAAACAAATTTACCAAGTTGTATCAACATGAGAATCCCTAAATGTGGCAGCTCCTGACACCCCAGGGCATGTGAGGGGAAACAAAGACATAACACAAGAATTATGTTAGTCTGACTTATGAACACATACAGTACTCTTATTGAGGGCATTCAAATTATCCTCAAAAGTTGACACTATTTTTTTCTGGACTTGGATCTCATCCCTGTTTTTATCAGAGTTCAACTCATGACACAATACCTTGCATTTATCCCTGGTTATAACAGCATCTGTTTATCCCGGGACAAGTGTGGGATGAAACCGGGGTGACCTCAATGTAATGTGGAAAGAAAAAATACCCCAAGATAATTACAGGGGTAAACTCGTGGGTAGTGTAGAATGTAAGTTCAGGGACAGGGCTGAACCAGGATTTAAGGTCTGGTGTGGAAAGGACCACTGTGAGTTATAAAGGCAACCAATGGGGTCTTTGTCAAAAAGCTTTTCATAAAAATCTATCCAATGACATAAAGACCTGTATTCTTCCTATAATATTTCATGTTTAGTTGTGAAATATTTGCCATTTGGAAAAGAATTTTACCCTGAAATTTACATACTTCATTTATACCTTGCCTTTCTCCCCTCTATTTTATCCTCAAAACAACCCTGTGCTATTGTGTATGACTTTCCCCAGGTCACCCAATTAACTTCCATGGCAGAATGGAGATTCGAACCTAGGTCTACCAGATTCTACTCCAGCACACCAGTCTCTACACCACAATGGTGTATACCACACTAGTACCTGGTAGGAGATGGAGGGTTTTAGAAAAAAGTAGAACCCCCCCTACTCCATACAAGTTAAATCAACTCTATCCCTGGTTATAACATATCAGCATATTTCTTGTTTCCATATCAGCAGATTTCTTGTTTCTCGGTTAAGCAAATTACAGGGTTTGTTTTGAATGTTTGCAGAATGTCATAGTTACCGGTTTCTCTTCTTCCGATGTTCTCTGTTAGAGTTTTCTGATTCACTACCACTGCTGGTATTACAACGGGATCGTGATCTAGAAAGAATGAAGAAGCAGTTTTGCAAATAATTGAATATTTCTATGTTACACATTCAAAACTGAAAACTATGAGAACATCTTATTATAAGAGAAACTCTTACCATAAAATAATAGGTAATCCAGTTTGCCAGATATTGCCTGGTTCTTACAGCCTTTGTACAGACTAGAAAACTTTAAAATGCTTCTCTTGTACTATTAACATATGAGCTCTCACCTCCTTCTAAGTGGCTGGCCAGGTTCATTTTCACTCCCACCTGAAAGGTGCCGTCGTCGTGAATAGGGAAACTTTGGTGATCTGTTACGGTCACTGGGAGAATTATAGAGCCCACTAGGGTTAAAGAAGAATAAGAATAAACAAAGGATTTCACTGGCATTTCACAGCATATACCATGAAGATATATACCATCTCTTTTTTTTAGTATTATTACTTTATTAGCAGGGTTGAAAAATAATTTCCTGTGCTGACAAGCATGTTATTTAAAAGGTGCACCAAGTCACAAGATTTGATCAAGCTGAGACTGAAGATGTTATTGCTTTTCCATGAATAAATATATTACACTGAACTCTTGAAACAAAAGGACAATTGCACATAAGCCTTCAGAGAATGCTTATAGGATGTTAAGGACCTTTTCACTGATGCAATTTTTGTGAGAAGCCACAAAGCAGAAAACAAACATTATTTCTTGCAAATGGGGGATTTTTACAGTAAATAAGTCCTTGTGAATTGCAGACCTAGACCTTCAACTACATGTTTTTCTTATACTGAAGATGAAAATAAGATACTGCACTTCCCATGGAAGTCAAATCATTTTAAGAGATGTAACTATGCATGTGATCACAACTCTTTATTATTTGCAGATATCCTCTTCCCACTCCCTATTTTCCCATTAACATTCATTAAAAAGTGCTCTGTAATTACTGTTGGCATTTATGAGCCAGCAAGCCTATCTCTAACATGAAAAAGCAAGTGAGAACAAGCTATAATACACAGTGGTGGGAGAGGAAACAGGAATAGATATGAGCTACTCATCTCCATTGCTGTCAACAGTATTTTTACACACATCTATATATAGCCATAATACATATGTGTTGTGTATACTTGCATGGGGCATATATACTACAGATTAAAATATACACAGTTAGTAAAAAAGATAAGGCACAGAGAGGAAGTCCCCTTGCCTGGCCCCTCCATTCACCTCCACATAGTTCACGCAAACACTCAGGAGGGGATGGGTTGTGAGAGAGGAAATCCTCCCTTTGCCTTTACCCTCCACGTACGCGTACACATACACAAGGGGGACTTCCACATGGTAATTCCACCAGTCTGTTTCAATTACTCCCCTTTGTGTCTTCTTTTCATGCTTTCCCCCAATCCCCAGTGTCATCCTTCAATTTTTCAGTGACACAGAGAGTCAAGGAAGAGAAGCTCTGTCAAGCATCCCAAGCACAGCTTCCAATAATTGCCTGGAGCTGGAGGTGGGCTGAGTGTACAAAATCTCAGATGTTAGTACTTGGCAAGCAATACCTAGGTAACCACAGGTGGTTGAGCTGACTGTGGACCACCTCCTAATCTTCCAGTCCTACCAGAATATAGATGCATGGAATTCAGAAACAGGGTACAGATGTCAGAGGTGGCATATATGCAGGCAATACAAATGTACGTTCTTCACTAAGCAAATACGGACAATTGAATCATCTTTGCAAGCCATCATGCTTTTCCTTACCTCTGAGAGCCGTTTTCTTCCCATGGTGCATTATGTTTACTTCTTTGGGTTTCTGGGCTGCTTTCATTTCTTGATTTCTTAAAACTAAAAAAGTATGGAGAAATGACTCTGTTGAAAAACTCATCTTTTTTAATTGGTTGAACACCGGTATTTTAAAACTCCACTTTTTAGAAATTCTTTTAGGTATTTGCTTTCATTGATGCTGTATTTCTCCCATAGCTATCTGCAGGAATAGCCAGGACCAAACTACACAGTCCTGGACTTTTTATCATTACCTTTTTATTGGTGAGGGGGCCATAATCCTGGTAGTTTGTTCATTTTCTCCAGTCTCTTTGTGTATAACAACCTGGTTTGTACAATGTGATCCTGAAGGGAAAATCAAACATTTCAGTGACTCTCTTGCATTTTAGGGAACCTTGTCTTAACAGGTTTATTTGATTTTTATCCCACCCTTCCTCTAAGGACCACCACAGTGTAGCATACATAGTATTTCTCACACCAACCCTACAAGGTAGGTTATGCTGTGAACAAATGGTCCAAAGACTCCCAGTAAGATTCATGGCGGAGCAGTGATTTGTGTTCCCTGTTGCAGTCCAACACTATAACCACTACATCACATTGATTCTCTTTATGTGGTCATGTTGACATTAAATGTTGCCATTTTGTTATGTAATGATTATCAACATATCAGTTTGAGAATTAATATGCATAAATATACAGAAACATATCCCTACACACACGCTACACTAGTGTTTCAAGAAGAACAGGCAAGTTTCAGAGCAGTGGCTCAACCTTCTACTTTATTCTCTTACTGTACAAGTCCACAACAGTAGAGAAAAACTTGCTACAGTTCCTATAGATCCACTGCTTAAAAAGGAAGGAACAGTTTCCCCCACCTTTAAATCTGAGGTGGTATTCATAAATCAAGTTTTAATTGTAAAACTCAGAAAAATGTAGAAAATCGCATAACAGGAAGCCATGACCATATTGTTATTGTACCAATAGAGGACTGACTGAAGAGAATAAAGATGATTTTAAAAAACTTGTTTGGAAGTCTAACCCAGCATAATCGTGAAGTAAATTCAAAATGGTTTTGAAGACTGAGCCATAACTTCTAAGAAGATAAAAACTGAGTAGAATCTATATATCTAATACTGAAGTGCGGCCCCCATCTGAAGATATCTAAATCCACAGATCAGGGTCAGAGATTTTCCTGCAAACTTGGGGAACCCCCCAGATTTGAAGAAAAATCTAAAATCTTAAGAAATACAATGGGGGTTAAATTCTCCCCCAAATAAAAGATCATTCTCTACGCAAAATCATAGAATGCATCTACCTCCAGCATGGTTTTTGTTGCTGCATTGGAGCCGGGGAGCCACAGCAGAGCTGGTGAGGAAGTGGGGTGGAGGATGGGATTCCCCCCCATGAGCCTCACGAACCCACACTGGTATGATACTTGAAAAGCAAAATTCCTGAATTATGGGGCATTACTATTGTAATTGGTGTACATTTTTTTAAAAAAAATAAAAAGCATAAATGAACACTTCTGAGTTCATATGATACAGCAGAAGAGCATTCGGAATGTGAAAAATTACAATAAAATAAACATTTTAGATATAAAGGGGAAAAAAGATGTATCACAAAATAGTGTGATCATGGGAGCAGAATTGTATCATATCACAGAAATTACGCAGAAGAGGATCTGTACAAGCAAAGGAAGTTTCCAAAGGCTAGTATCCAGTCACTACAGACACAGAGACACACACAGCTATGCTATGTTTGTGCTGTTGCATGGCATAAAGACTCCATGGTGCAACTAATGCTTCCCACCTGCGCACCAAGCAAAGGGTGCAGCTTGGACTTTTAGCAATGTTCTATCACAGCCAGGCAGTTGCTGAGTGGGTCTTTGTGCAAGGTTCCCAATCCTCCAAATGACTGGGAACAAAAGAAAAGAAAAGAAAAACTAGCAGCAATAAAACAACAGGAAACCGAAGACTAGTCTGGACAAGACTGCAGCTCTTTTAATGAGACATGCACAGGAAAAGGGTTTGGGAAGTAAAAACAGGCATTCGATGGCTCAGTGTTCATTCTGACCAAGGATAAAGTAATGTGAATTTCCAAGCCCTGGTATGAATTTCCTAATTATGGGAATAATCTACCAACTTTTAAAAACTCCTTCTTTTTTCATTTCTTTTTGGAAAGTTTAATGGACTAAAACAGTAGACTACTGAGCTTCATAACAGAATTTTTCTGCAGTGCTAATTCCAAGGTCTCATTTATGGTTCTTGGAGGGAGAAAATGCCAAGAAAATAAATAAACTCAGTTTGCTTATTGTAAAGTACTGGGTTCAGACACGTAGCAGTGATTTCAGCTCATAGTTTATTAGACACTCAAGACAAAAACCAGCAGGACCGGAGCCCTGCTTAAATCCGTGAGGCACACCACACCCAACACACACCCCACTCCCTGTGATAGGTTATTTACATAGCGTCCATACCCATAGGTCAGGCGTAGGATCCTGAGTAGCCGATTGGCTCGCTCTAGGATCCTCGTCTGCTATTGTTTTCAGTCTGCAAGCTGCGCTTGTTCACCCGGCCACGTGTTTGGCCGAGCGCATGTGGAGTTCTTGTTGGTACACAACACTTATAAATATTAACTACTGTGGTCAAGGAACAAGTAGCACATAACCAAGACAGTCTTAATACTAACGTACATCCGGAATTACTACAGTTGTGTTTGCATGTGTTTACAATGAGACTTACTAAACTTCGCTCATGTTTTGTCCTGCAGAGTTATGCTCACAATCAATAATTACGACACTGAGACCTTCAAACAGCTTCATGGAACAGGTTTTTATATGCATGTTTGAACATTTCTTTATACAGTGGATGAACACTCAGCTGTAAAGCCTATACAGTATCTGTTTTAATAAACAAATAAATAATAAACAATAGAGTTATCTGGAAATAGACCATAATATCCTCTGATATGTCCCCTGAAGAGCTCTGCATGCTGCTGGAAAGTGATCCCTAGCCCAAAAGACGTCAAGCTGTCCTTGACCAACCAGCTGTCCTTTTTCAGCCCTGGTTCCTACCTGGTGGAACTCTCTCCCAAATAACATCCATATCCTGCGGGACCTTATGGAGTTCCACAGGGCATATAAGGCAGAGATGGTCTGCCAGGCTTTTGGTTGAGGACAGCAACGGGTACCATCTTATCTGGCACTCCCTCCCCTCCAACCTTGCTTTCTCCCACTTGTGGGAGAGTGATACATATTGTTTCTACTATGGCGCCATTTGTTCCCCCCCCCCCCCCGGTTTTATGTGGTATTTTTTGTTGCTATTAACCACCCTGAGCCCTGTGAACTCAGGGAAGGGCGGTATATAAACTGAAATAATAAATAAATATGTAACCTTATAATAAGCAAACATGTAATTTTAATAAAACCTGCGTCTTCTAAAAAGGCAATGTGAATAATATGGGACTTTTCGCCATTATATAGAATTGTTTGGGAAGTAAAATGGCAAAATCTGTTTCAGTGCTCCAACCTCTCAAACAGCTGAATGCAGTGGAATTACTAACTTTTTTGAAAGGGCAGAATTGCAGAAGTGTATCTCATGATTTTAGCCAAAAAACAAAATATAGTTGTTGTTTGTTTGTTTTAAAAAAGAAACCTACTTTTCTGGGGGGGGGGGAATACACAGGTAGTGTTCCAAAGGACTGAACAGCAGCGTCCAATGCCCTGAGTTGGAGGCCATGTGAAATGGAATCAGCCTCTGTCCCTTCAGCCATCATTGGGTCTCAAGCAAACAAAAGCACCCCAAGAACTCATTCCCAGATTACTCATCACCAATCTTTGGAATAATTTACAGATGGCTGCAAAGGAACAATGACTTTGGAATTTATTTTTGGAATTTATTTCAGGAGATTCTCATAGCTTTAAAATAATACAGCAATAAACATTTAGAACTGTATTTTTGTTTTTGTTTTTTAAACCAGCAAGAAACAAATGAGCATCACCAAAACATTTTTTGAACAAACTGAGTGATCTACCTAGGGAAGTTTCACAATAACATACTCAGTTCATTTCTGCTTTTTTAATATTAAAAAAGCTCTGTAGAGTTAGAGTTCAATTTAGTTTTATATTTTCATCAAAAAATGGATGTAATGAAGTAGAATTAACTGGGTTACTTGGATTGCACATTTTGCTTTGCATAGAGTGAGGGGAAAACACACTCTTAAAAGCAAAGCTGACTCAAGTAATTTTGCTCTTCGCTGTATGTAAAGTATGCCTGTAGCTGCCTCTGACTCTGCTGCCAGTCAGACTGTGGACGGAATGTCTGTCGACTTCTGCACCACTGACCACTGTGAGCAAGCCACACCCAAAGCACTGGCTTTGCTTCCCCATTGTGCTGCCCCCTAAGTAGTTATTTGGGGAGGCTTGGGTGGAGAATTGGCTCTGATAAAAAAGGCAGGAAATCAAACAATCTGTTAAATGGTATCCTGAGAAGACACACGACCAGCTTCCAGCCTCAAAAAGTATTTTAAACCCTGAAAGAAGGAAATTTTCTGATTTGTATACTGCCATGTACTGACCAACAGGAAAAGATGTTAAGAGGCCACTGCTCACATTCAAAAAAATTAACAAAAATGGAGATAACTGTTCACAAGGAAAAATATTTAAAAATAAGTGAAGTCTTTTTTAAAAAAAAAAACCCGAAGGGATATTTTTTATTTTGCAATAGACTACAGAACTACAAAGAAAATATTGGGAAGGGAACTACAACTAGGGATAAAGGAAAGATAGCCACACTATGCTAAAACCCTAAGAGGAGGAGATCTTATCCCTGTTAATATAAGTGTTAGTACTTAAAGAGTTAATATCACAATATACTTGCAGAGTTCTTGTTTATCACAACTTCAAATCTGTTATATGTTAGTTGTTATGAGAGAGCTTTCTGATCATCTTCTTGGATGTAGTTTGGTGTAGTGGTTAAGTGTGCGGACTCTAATCTGGGAGAACCGGGTTTGAATCCCCACTCCTCCACTTGCACCTGCTGATGTGACCTTGGGTCAGTCATAAGCTCTGGCACAGCTGTCCTTGAAAAAGAGCAGTTTGTGTCAGAGTTCTCTCAGCCCCACCCACCTCGCAGGGTGTCTGTTGTGGGGAGGGGAAGGGAAAGGAGTTTGTAAGCCGCTCTGAGACTCCAAGTGAAGGGCGGGGTATAAATCCAATCTCCTCTTCTTCTTCTTCTTCTTCTTCTTCTTCTTCTTCTTCTTCTTCTTCTTCTTCTTCTTCTTCTTCTTCTTCTTCTTGTGGAATCTCTCTTTTATCGTTGATCTTAAAGATGACACTCTCTGGGACCACCCACCTGTACAATATTCCATTAGTTTGAAGAAAATAAATTAAATCCTTATAGTTTTTCCTCTTTTGTCGAATTTCAAATGGAATGTCTTTTAAAGTTTTGATTATTACATTTCCCATTTTCAGTGGAGTTGCTGAAGTCGCTTTTAAGATGGCATCTCTGGTTTGTCTTCTTGAAAATCTGACCATTTCTCCAGGCAGGCTATTTTTTTAATATAATTGGAGTATGCCCTGTAGGCTAGCTCCATTTCTTTTACAAGCTCATCCTCTGTTAAGCCTATTACTGGAGCGATGATCTCGCTAAGCACTTTCCTCAGTTCCTCCCACTCTGCTTCAGGAACTCCCTGGAACCTGAGAATCATGTTAGCTTTTTCCATCTGTAACTGCAGCAAATGATTTCTTGGACATTCTGCTTCGTTTCCACTTCTCCCATTCTTTTCTTCAATTTCTTGCTAGTGGTGTCTATCTCTTTAATTTTCTCATTTGCCTGCTCCACTTTTTTCTCCATTTCATTCAGCTGGAGCTGTTGAGATACAAAGTTCTTATTCATCATGGTCAATTGCTGGTTAATACCATCGAGTTGTTCCATCACCGGCTTGAGCATGTCCGCTAGCAGTTTAATGATGTCTGCTCCCTCTTCCGGTTTTGGCCTCTGACTGCCTGGTGGTTTCATTTTCAGCTTTCTCTGCTGGGCCACCATTTTCTCCATTTTGTTTACAGTTTCTACCGCTTCTTCATGACTCAAAAAACTCACCCCACGATGACGAAAATCAAGTAAGTATCTCAAAACACAGTCGTTGTATTTCCTCTCCTCTCCCCTTTCGTATCGCTTATCAGTTCATTCGCATCCCTCTTTGCGCCCGCTTTTGTCAGCGGGGGGGGGATTTGCTTTTAAAGTAATCCTATTTATTTTGAAATCATGTTCATTGTCAGTTTCTCTGACCTTGCTCATTAATCGCCATTCCGCTTGTCCCAGTCAAACCAGCTAGTGCCCGAGGGCCACACAGCGGCTGGACCGTCAGGGCGGAGGGAAGCCTCAATTCTCCGGCATTACGCCATCGAAGAGGCCACCTCTCAAAAGCCCCCTGGCCTGGAGTCTATCGCAAAGGCTCCATGGGGGTGTCACTTGAGGTGGCACCCCTCCAGGCCGCTGGTGTGTGGATCGCTCTCCCACGGCTCGGGGAGAGTGTCCACCATCGCTGCTTCATAAACCGGAAGTCCAAAAATAAGTGAAGTCTTATAGTCTGCCAGAGAGGATCAGTAAAACAATGCCTTTATCCTATTATTCATGTATGCAATACAACACCGTAGTAACTAAGAGGTGGGGCCTCATAAATAGTTTAGTCCTGCCAAAGGAAATGGAGAATAAGCAGGAGCTCTCAAAATAGGGTTACAATTACCCTAGTGGGGCCAGGGGATCCCCCAATTCACCATGGCCCAGCTGACTGGCAAGGGAAGCCCCACCCCGAGAAGCCTCCACCCAGTGGCAGTGCCATGACATCACCTGGGAGTAATGTCATCATGTTTCTGACGCTGGGGGCAATGCTCTAGGTTTTGGCCAGAAGAACTCCTGGAAGGATTGGGAGTCCTCCCACCAGCAGCCAGGGAGGACCTGGCAACCCTATCTCAAGAGGGAAATATTGATAATCTTATGATGCTGTGATTGTAATATTTGTATAAACAATTTTTCCACCTGAGAAGCACAATAAAGGAAGTTATTTGTCCTACTGCCTGAAGGAGCTGAGCACAGTAGATTATTTATAATCGCTGTTCTGAGAACTACTAGATTATCTAGATTCCTTTGTTCAAAAGCCAGGAAGACTGAGAGCTGTTTACCACACTGTAAAGTTATACTGGTGTGGGTTACAGAGGGCCCACTGAGTTTTGCAGTCTCTGGAACAGTGATTGTCTCCCATGGTATCTTTCAATAAGCCTCGCAGCTCTAAAGCCATCTGTTTAAGAGGTGGCTGATCTTTTGGAAAACAAGCCCCAAGTATAAGATAACACAATTCTAACATGGCCTACACCAATGCTTCCTCTAAGCTGTGGAGTCTTATGAGCAAAAATTCTACTGGCATTAAAGTTGTGAGCAAACGATTTTGCTGCTGCATAAATTAGTTTGCTCTGAAGCCACCCTTCCTGAGCTAAGACAAAAATGTGTGAGCTGGAGGCTAAAAAACTGTGAGCTAGCTCACACTAACTCAGCTTACAGGGAACACTGGCCTACACACAGTTCTATAGCCTTGAGGTGGTCTTGACTTACCTAGGCTGAAAATTTAAGTCATATATATAAGGCCATCAGGAACTTGATAAACATCCTGCTTCTGCTGTTCTGGTTTAGTTTAGCAGATTACAGGTTCTTTGGGTCTTTTCTTGTCTACTGAGCCAGCATGCCCACAAGCAGTAGTGCAGCACTAAAGAGAAAGTGGCAGGTTTCTAGGCTTGCATCTGCCATAGCCAAGGCCACAGCCCTCCTACTCAGGTTCAGAAGTTCCATACAATCCTGCAGCTTGTGTCACTTAAACCACCCCCATGCTACAAGCTGGTCATCCACATATTCTACACTGATGGGAATGTATATTTTATTTTTAAATGTCTCCCGTCTGCTTTGCAGGCTGCATTAAAAAGTGTTTTTTAGCAAAACTTGGCAAAAATGCCTGCAGACAAGGTAGGAAGTAGTATCTACCTTACACTGAAAATAGACGCAAAGTAAAAACACTCCGCAACCAAGCTGAAAACATACACCCAAACACAGCAATGTTATACTGCCAAAAAAAGTAAAACAAGGTGTTTCCAGAGGACTCTCTTCTCTTGCTTACAACAGAAAAATGTAACAGTCTGTAAGGAAAGGAGTGTCTTCCTGGCACAATTATCCAGTGTAAATTGTTTGGATTTTATGATTATCAGAACTGCAACTCCACCACCCTTCCTAAACCTAGAGGGCGAAGTAAAGCTGCCACTGGAAGAAGCACTGATGCTGCTAGACATCAAAGAGACGTAAATAGCACAGAATATTCCTTACAATGCAGCTGCCTAGTTCTTCTGTTCTAATAGTCTCTGCTCTAATAATCCTGGAAAGAGAGCCTCTCAGGATTTCCTGTCCAAGTTTCCCTTCCTATTGTTTTACAATTCACCACAGTATTGCTCCACTTTTCCCAATTAGGCATTTGATTTAACAGGTGTGTTTTCAAAATAACTTCCAACTCAGTTCTCCTGTCACCAACTGTCAAAGTCAGAATGTTCTACTTGAATTAACTTAATATTTACATCAAAACAAAAATATAGTATGAGCAAATTAATGAAGGTTTGATGCTACTATAACATTTCAGGATGATTTACAGGGGATGGGAGAAAGAATAAAGATGGAGTCTAAGGTCACGATCACACGGGCAGTTCAGTCCGCTGTTGTCCCGCCTCTAATAGAGCCAGATTATTTTGTTACAGAGAATCCTGACCAGACTCACCCTTTTTAGCACTCTGGCTGTGGAGTGATCAGACAGCACCAAGCAGGGAGTCAGCCCGTTGGCCATTTTTTTTAGAAGTTTATCCTTAGGAGCATGCCCACAAGCAGGGATGAGCCTGCTGGGATAAGGAATTCATGGGGCTGTCAGCCATTACTTTTAAAAGTATATCCCAGAATGCTGGGATATGGAGTTCACTGCCATCCTCCCTGTAATCATTTCAATTTACCCCTTCCCCAAAGGACAGAAAAAAGCTGAAGAACAGAGTCGTCTTTCTTTGAGAGTTTGTAAAAAGAAAGAAAGTTTTGAGCAGCCCCTGTGGGGGGGGGAGAGAGAGAGAGAGGTGCGAATGTGCAGTTATGCGATCATTTTTTTAAAATGGCAGTCGGAAAATAAGAGACCAGTCAGACCTGCCTGACGGCTTGGGTGCTCAAGAGTGCGACCAGAGACCCAAAACCATTAATCGATACTTGTTTTGCCAGATTCTAATTAGCTATTATTTGTATCTTCTTAAATCTCAGTGTAAATAGGGGCTGTTCATTCTGACTTACCAATCTGTTGTGTTTTTGCTGTTCTTTTTGGATAAGTCTTGCTGCGGCTTCTTTCAACAGTTTGGTCAGGTCGAGGAAGCTGGATGTCCATGTCTCTGTTCATTTGCAAAGCTGTTCTCCCACTAGAACATGCAACAACGTGTATCTCATGAATAAAGGGAAAGCTCGCAAAATAGAATTCAAAAATGTATTATATCTTAGTCAAATAAATTCATTCACTTCAGTTTAATACGATGTCCAGTCTTCTCCTGAATTTCAGTCAAGCAAGCTTTTCTATGGTAAAATGAAAATAAGGCTTATCACAATATAACCATTGCCTTTACTTACTCACTCATAGTTCCCAATTTAACATATGGCATCGCCATCTCCTACCAACCCAATCCTGCCTCTCATACCATTTTAACCTACCTCTCTTGGGGGGCTAGCTCAGTACCCTGTCTGAATTTATTCTGAGTAGTGGTTGGTCCAAGTACACCAATGGATGATCTTTCAGGAACCTCCCAATAGATCACTGACTTTTTACATGACTGGCTACACAATATCAATCTCTCTTTCTTTCTTCTTTTGTGAGGGGGAGCAAACTTGATTTAGTTGGCAAACACTTAAGATGATTTTTCTTTACTTGGTATTTTACCAAAGGTATAATGAAGAAATTGTTCAAGAACACATACAAAATTATTTCTCTGTTAACTATACAGCCATGGGAACAGTAACCTTATAACTCAGACCTATGTAGTGCAAGTCTTATGAATATATAGTTTGTTTTGTTGCATTTCCTGAATTAATTTCCTCATATATTCATTCTTATCAAATAACATTCAACAGAATGAGCAAATAAATGGCAATGATATTTACACAACCATATTCCTCTCACATATTCTAATTCACATTAGCCTTGCTAACCAGAAAAATATTATTTTCTCCAATGATAACAACAATGATTCTTCAAGTGTGAGAAACAGGTGATATCACCATAGGAGAAGCATTTGTTTAAGGCTGGTATCTACATCTCATGCAATAAATCTGTGACCTTGCACATTTATTGTTTAATAAATTAAACTCAGCTAGTACCTTTACTCTGCAATGTATCGGTTCTAAATGATATAAGCAGAGAACGTGGAAGAGACCAAGATCTGAATTAATCTATATTCTAGTCAATGTAGCTGTTTCATTTGATTCCTAATATGAAAATGCAGAAACTGATCTAAAAATTGGTCACAAAAACTATACAAGGTTCAGCACTTTTGTGGAAAGAAAACTGGAGCCAGTGTATATTAGAATTTCAAGATTTAAGTAACAACCATTATATATTGAAAGTTGTACTACCAAATCATTTTAAAACAAAACCCATTTATTAGCTAGCTAATGTTATTTTTCCTGTTCTCACACAGTAAGATCTACTAAGCAGATAACTCTGTCACGTTCAACAAAAGCAAAATGGAACTTCCGGTTTTTGATGACTTGCAGGCGAGTGCGCTCCATCACAGCTCTGATGTGAGCAACACGCAAAACGTGCCGATGGGGAGGGGTCCGAGTTGATCTTGGACCCCCTCGACCCCTTGTAGGGGGGTCATAGCCTGTGGTACGTGAGGTACCTCTCTCAAGGCGGAAGCCAAGAGATCAAGGCTCCTTTTTGCCCTGATAGGTACCCGTGGCACAGAGCCAGCAATGACACCGAGAGGCACATACCGGCCAGAGCACACAAGCTAAATAAACGCAAGTAAAATTGTGAGTGAATCCATGACTCAGCAAATAATCTATTAAAAGTGAGCAGTAAAGCCGCACCAAAGCCCCAAACAAGCGGAAGGGGGAGGGGATGCCTGATCCCGAAAAGACTGAGTTAAGCGGGGACTGAAAGGGCGGCTTGAAGGAAGTGGAATTTGGCTGAAAGTGGTGATCATTAGCAAGAAAGCAGTAAATCATCAGACTTTCAGAGACTTTTAAAACTTTTCTCTTACTGTAAACAATGATGCAACAAGCAGAAAGAATGGCGGCAAAAGTGAAACTTATAACAGGAACTGCCAGCACATCATCCTTGGCTACCAAACCGGAAGTAACCACAGACTTTCCAAAAATTATTTCTGCAGCTTTGCACCCTCTGCTGGACCAGATGGCCAACCTTAATGACAAGTTTGACACATTGCAAAAGGAGCTCAAAGAAACTTCAGCAAAAACAGAGAAGGTAGCCAAGAAGATGAAAAAAGTTGACATTAAGACCAAAGAGTTTGGATAAAGACGAGGTTGTGGGAAAAGAGAAAATCTCTAGGAATCAGTAATTGTTACTTTTTCAAATGGAGAAATCAGCGTATGTCCTGAGATTTCAAAACATTCCGGAACAGAAAGATGAGAATCTGAAAGAGATTATGTCAAGAGCTGGCTCCCATGGTAGGCTTAACAGCGGAAACTCTACAAAGCGATATTGATCTGGTTTACCATATGTATCCAGAATTTATTTAAAAAACAACAACAAACTACCCAGGGAAGTAGACGTGAAATTCGCAAAAAGGTCCACAAGCAATGTTCCCTCTAAGCTGTGGAGTCTTGTGAGCAAAAATTCTATTCTGTGAGCTACTGGCATTAAAGCTGTGAGCGAGCGATTTTGCTGCTGCATAAAGTAGTTTGCTCTGGAGCCATCCTTCCAGAGCGAAGACAAAAATGTGTGAGGTGGAAGCTAAAAAACTGTGAGCTAGCTCACACTAACTCAGCTTAGAGGGAACAGTGTCCACAAGAGATATAATTTTGAAAGTGACTCACCAAAATGTCTTGAAAATCAAAGGAGAACAAATTAAAGTTTTAAAAGATGTTCCATTTGAAATTAAGAAAAGGAGGAGACAATACAGAGACTTAGCATTGTTTTTGCAAAAGAATACCACTCCTTACAGATGGATAGTACCAGAAGGCCTTATCTTCAATTTCAATGGCAATAAAGAAAAGATTGACTCTGTTCATAAAGCGAAAATATTCCTGAAGCAACAACAGAAAGCGACAGATGGGTCTGAGAAAGTGGATGATAACAAAGATGCAGAAGAAGAAGAAGATAAAGCTGGAGAAAGTTCTGATACCTCTTTGAGTAGCTCGGCAGAGTCTTTGGATACTGAAGCAGAATTAGGGGCTGCTGCCCCTAAACAGCTAAAAATTAAATTGGACTTTGATAAGAAGCACAAAGGAAAGAAACAACCAAAATAGATTAACTTTGATAGTCTGATGTCCATTGTTAACGTATAAATTTAAAGCTAAGATGCACACACTACAGTCAAATATGTTTGTGATTGCTTGCTTTTTAATTTGATATTTTTATATTATTAACCCTCACGCTTTACTACTTTGTTAATAGGGATGTATCAACAATTTAAAATTTTTGTATTAAGGATCCTTGTTACTCTTAATTTTAGGTTGTTCCCATCCCCCAACCCTGTAGTTTTGTAGTTTAGAAAAGAAATAAAAATGTTTTTTAAAAAAGCAAAATGCATGAACTTGCCAAGTTTTGTTCTTCAGCAACTATTCATGATGCAAAATACAAACCTTTCCTAATGATAATTCCCAATTGCCAAAACATCTGATTTTGAAAGACTGAGAAACATCCAAATGGATTGGTCTAATGAGTGAAGAGTAATTATATTGTATGTACAAAAACCCATAACTATTGACTGACTCATTATGAATGACCTCTATGGGGGAGGTGCTATTTTACCAAAAGAATGCCAAGAAGCAAAGTTAGATTTCCCCTAAACACATGAACAGAGCTGCGGTGGCTCAAGTGGTTAAGACGCTGAACTGCAGGCTGTGGAAAGTCAGTAGTTCAGTGGTTCGAGACCCGGGTGCCGCATGACGGAGTGAGCTCTCGTCTCTAGTTCCAGCTCCTGCCAACCTAGCAGTTCGAAAGCAAGAAATTGCAAGTAGATAAATAGGTACCACTTCGGTGGGAAGGTAACAGCGTTCCATGCACCTTGGTATTTAGTCATGCCGGCCACATGACCACGGAATCGTCTTCGGACAGCGCTGGCTCTTCGGCTTGGAAACGGAGATGAGCACCGCAACCCTAGAGTTGGATTCGACTGGCTTTTGAGCAAGGGAACCTTTACCTTTACTTTAAACACATGACCATTTTCTCAGAACAAACACGTGTAACTGCGTCTTTATATGCAGGCAAGAAGGTACTACCAAAGTTTTGATAGACTTCATACTTTATTTCAGTTTTTAGTTAGACAGAACAATGAACCAGACTCACCACTCTTAACTGTATTCATTCTTGGTAGCCTTTCCTTAATAAAACGTCACAGGATACTCTTCCCCATCAAAAGTTACAAGAAAAGTACCTACAGAGGTCATTAGAAGTCTTGCTGGAAGCTAGTGTGGTGTAGGGACTAAGGAAACTAATGTCTGAATCCTCACTCAATCTTTAAACATTGGATGACCTTGGGTCAGTCACTCTCTCAGCCTAATATATCTTGGAGTGTTGTTACGAGGATACATTTGAGCAGCAGAGATCTACATATGGCTGCCGTGAGCTCTTTAGCGGAATAGCAGGATAAAAGACCGATAATCATTTAGGCTCGGCAAGTTATGAAGTCTCAGGGTTTATTTTAGTGCTGCAGAGGTGAGGTACTTGCTTGGTACTGGGAGGCCTCAACACATAGATCAGGAAGGAACTTGGGGGAACTGCTAGGATTCCCATCAGTCCAAACCAGAAGCACTGCCCCAGAACTTTCCCTAAAAAGGCTAGGGATATATCAGACCTACCTGCTCTGCTCTTTTTGTCACAGATGCTTCTACTTCCTCTGTTGGACCTTTAGTCTTTTTAAAATATCCAGGTTCCACAATCCCAGTAGAAACAAGTGCTTCTGAATTATAGCCACACCTCCAGACTCTTTCAGCTGACATCAATGCTACAGTCCACAAGTTCTCTGGCAATATATCATTCATTCTCAGGAACACCTCTGCATTGACAGTGGCACCAGTGTTCCACTTCCTCCATAAATATCCACGTGTTAAATTTTTGTGCGCACAGGCGCATGTGCACACACATGCATGTATCCCAACTAGATGTGATGACAGCAGAGCCACATGTAGGCTTCAGAATCCCTACCTTTTGCAGTATAAATCAGACCTCACCTACCCTCATGCCTTTTTTTAAAATGTGAGATGCAGCAGTTCCCGTCTCCCTCCCCAAATGCACACCTTAGTGTGGCGAGGGGATGTGTGTGTGTGTCAGAGAAGCTGAGAGCAATAACGATTTTAGCCTCTGTCAAGAAACTAAACCCATAGTCATTCCTAGTCACTCAAGGCAGAATGGTCACAGCTGAGACACCAGACCAAGATGCGTCCACCCCCTTCAGGGATCAGATGCATCAGCAGAAGAGAACAGACAGTTCCAATGGTGATGGAGGTGGAGGATTTATTTAAAATTGGGGTATTTTTGTATTTTGTGTGTTCCTGTGCCTGAAAGTCATGGCAACCTCTGGCGACTCCTACTAGGGCATGGAGGACGTTCAGAGAAGTGGCTTCTCTGCCTCCCAGCCCTGGTATTCTTTGGAGGTCTCCCATCCAAATTCTTGCCAGGGCTAGCTCTGCTTAGCTTCCGAGATCTGAAGAGATCGGGCATCCCTAGGTTAGTACTGTGCAGAAGACAGCAATGGTAAACCACTCCTCATCATCTCTTACCTCCAAAACCCTATGATGAGACAGTCCAAAAGAGGAAAAGAAAAAGATATGGTACTGGAAGATGGAACCCCCCAGGGACAGACCCAAGTTAACACTCATGGATCTGCTACTATGATGTTTAATTTGACCCAAAGATGTGTTGAGTGTGTATTATGTTACCATTATGTATACTTCCTCAGGTATTTAGTTACTAAAGAACACAGAATAATAAACCTAAAAGATAATCAGACTCACTAGGAATCTTTAATGCCCTCATATTTCTTAACTGCCATATGATTCTGAACAGCTAATAATTAAAACACTAGGACTATAAGCAACAATGCTGATGAATCTCTTGATGAGTGCCTGTGACTTTGCAACTGAAATCAGCAAACCAAATTTGGATTAAAAAAAAGTAATGTGTGCCTTACAGCATTTCTGGGAAATTACACAAACATGTTCCAGCTGCCCACTTGTACAATATTTATACATCTGTGCAATAAAGAAGAGACCAGATCAAGGACTCTCCTGCTCTCTGGGTTTTTTAAGCACTGTCAATAATGTAATAACTGATCAAAGGGGGGGGGGGGGAAAACCATAAAAAAGAGAGGCTATATGATCACAAAAAATACACCTGAGCTAAGGATTCATATAAACATTTGAAGTGATAATAAACTGCATTACCTGTACCGATGCTTATAACCAAAGGATCCGAGCTTGCCAAGTTTTCTTGATATAGAACTAGACTCATTTTCAGGCATTCTGTATGTTTTTAAAGAAGAAAATGATTTTGTAAATGCACATAATACATTTCCCACATGAACAGGGTTTCTATGAAAGCTGCTCTTAATTATTACCTTTAGCAACCCCCTCCTCCACACAATTTTGTAATGCTAAAGATTCTGTGGCCTGAAAGAATCTGCAGCAAGGAGGAAATGGCCAGTGCATTTCTTGTCAGGCTTTTGGGCATGTGAGAACTGATCCTTCCTTCATGTCAACTTGTGGAGTTATAACAGTGTTGTAACTACTGGCCCGATAAATACTCTTTTCTTACCAGTTTGATCCTAAATACTGTGAGTCATTAAAATGAACCTAGCTAATCAACATTAGCCCCAAGGTTATAATTGGGTAAGAACTGGAAAAATCACATCCTCTGAAATGTGAATACTAGTGTATCTTTTTTTCTCTAGGCTGCATTCATTGGGAAGCAAACAAACACTTGCATGACTTCTCCAGCACAAACAAAAGACATGCCTTTTCTGACAGAGGCATTCAGATCATACCAACTGATTTCAAATTTTTGGTGGATCAAAGCAGTATAGAAAAACAGAAATACTAGTTAAGTCACTGAAGTGTTGAACAATCTCTCCTATATAATAAAGCTGTTTTGGTGTGACTCCTGGACATGCTCCCACAGCCTTTGGCCCACTCGGCTGCCACTCTCGTGGACTCCCAATCTCCTGTCTGCATTGCCTCACTGTGTTGGCTCGGCCCTGCCCACAGAGCCAGCAGCCAGCATCTCGCCCTCCGTCTGGAGGGAGCTGGCGAAGTGGATGAATGCTCCACCGAGGGAGCAGCAACCACTCCACAGGGGAGAAGGAGGCAGACCTAGCGAGTGACAGCAAGCAGGGGAAGCACTCACCTTCGCTGCCCCTTGCAGCCCCTCTCCCTCGGTCACAAGGCTGGCCCTTTGTCAGGGCAATAGCTCAGCGGGATGTATGGCACTGTATGAACTATTGTACAAGTATTTATAGAACTACCATTTATGGAACTGCTATTTTCCTTCTTTGGGTCTCTGGATCCAGTGTAAAGAAGCCAAATGACATTCTATGTATAAAATTAAACCAGTCTAATTCAGGAGATTTTGCTAAAAGCAAGCATGTGGCATGAAGTTCTAAAGAGTCCTTCCCCCCATGAAATATATCGGTCTTCTATAATCATACCAGAACAGAGCTTGACATATGGAGCTTACTAACCTGAAGAATGTATGGTGTTCTACACAGCACTTCCATAAATTTTTGCATGTAGTTTTGCTGTGTGCTTCAAAAAAGAAGGAGGTTTCATTACACTGAAATTAAAAAAAAAGAATTAAAAAAGCTGGGAAGGATTCTTCTGACTATATGCCTTCTTTCGTGGTCAATTCAATTTACTGAAAACTTGAAAAGAACACACCGCTAGGATTGAGGTAAGTTAGTCATTACACATAGGAGTATATTTAACTAGTTGTTGGGGGTAAGCACTTTGTATCAGTCACAACACATAAAACACATAATGCCTAATTTTTCTATCATCCATAAAACTATATGATGGTCTGTTTTGCACTTATGAGAGCTTCAAAAACAGCCAATAGTGTACAGGTGGGAACAAGGGCAAGGACTGATATTCAAGAAAAAAGCTTGAAATTCCCCACAGTCATAAGAGTTTATTTTTATTGCAGCCAACACAATACACTGTAGAAATGATTACTGATTACTAAGACTACTGAAATTCTAGCTTAAGGCCTTATTTTAAACATAACCCTAAAACGATTATTTGAATAAGCATTTGCCAATACACACCAAATACCAAAGAACCACATAACTGGATCTGCATTTAACACACACAAGCTGCCCATGTGCCAGAAAAAGTTTTCTGAAATGGAGGGCCAGTTTAGACATCAAAGCAGAAAATCAGTAATCTGATATGTTGTGATTTTTTAAAAAAAGTTTGCAGCAGCCAATGCTAGAGTGATTGGGATTAGGGTTGTGACAACAGAGAAGGAGCTAGCCCTTTCCTACCCATGTTGTTGGCCCGATGCAAGTCATCCAGACTCCTTGAAGTTATCAGCCTACTAGGAGGAAATATATAGGCCTTTATACATTTTCTTCTGCTGAATAAACAGAAGAATCGAAAGACATCCAGTCACAAAGCTCCTGCTGTCTTGTTCTAGTTTCATCCTGAGCTGCTTATTATTTAAAGGAAGAAAAAGTATCAGCAATTCCACTTGGCATGTCTAATCACTGGGTGCACCTTCACTAATCTTTGAATCCCATCTATGAAATTCTAAAATTTGCACAATAGCTTGCATAATTCAAATGTCACTTTTACCTTTGACAACTAATCTGGCCTTGTCCCTATTTTAAACACCATGATGACCAGGAACAAATAGGCATGCATCAAGTAGCAGCTTTTTCCACAGGTGATTTAGCTCTGTAGTGGTAAAACATACCTAGTATGTTTCCTGGTTTGGACTGTGCCACCAGTAATGAGTCCGCTACCTTTACTGTTTAGAATATCAGTAATCAGCACAAAAGCAGTGAGAGAGTGCCTACTAGGGGTGGGCATTCAGAAAAAAACGAGCTGAATACAGATTAAGCCAAATTCAGATTAGGGAATTTGGTTGGCTACCAAATAACTGAGCCCAAATAAAAGCCCTCCCCCCCCCTAATCAGCTTTTATCCAGGTAGATACCTATACTGAAGCGGCAAGCTCACCCAGAAGTGGCTCACTTTTGAGTGAGCTCACCGGCAATTTTGGAGTTCACTGGTATACGGTGCGGCTTTGCACAGGCCATTTAAAGGGTCTCTTTACCTGGAAGTGGGTGAGCTCACCGGCTGCTTGGGGTTCCTTGGAGCACAGTGCAGCTTGCAAAAGCCATTCAAAGGGACGTTCCCTTTAAATGGCTTTTGCAAAGCCGCACCACATGCCAGTGAACTCTGAAGTGGCCAGCAAGCTCACCTGGAAGTGGGTGAGTTCACTGGCCACTTTACAGTTCACTGGTGCATCATGCGGCTTGGGGATCAATTCTCCATTATACCCTATGGTGATGGTTCCCATAGGGCAGCGTTTGCGAACCTACGGCACGCATGCTGGAGAGGGCACACAGAGCCCTCTCTGTGGGCGCGCGCGCGTCACCCAGCACAGATCGCTGGAGTGCCCCCACCCGCCCTCCGCTTTTTTCTGCCGGCATGCCAAGGCGCGCAGGCAGAAAAAGACCTCCAGAGCGCCTCGCCCGCCGCCGCCATCTTTCTCAGAGAAAGTCCTCCGAAGCACCCCCCCGCCCAAGCCTTTCTCTGCCCCTGCACCGAGGCGTGCGAGCAGAGAAAGTCCTCCGGAGTGCCCCCTGACTTTCTCTGCCCCTGCACCGAGGCGTGCGAGCAGAGAAAGTCCTCCGGAGTGCCCCCTGACTTTCTCTGCCCCTGCACCGAGGCGTGCGAGCAGAGAAAGTCCTCCGGAGTGCCCCCTGACTTTCTCTGCCCCTGCACCGAGGCGTGCGAGCAGAGAAAGTCCTCCGGAGTCTCCCCCTGCCTTTCTCTGCCTGTGAGTCAAGGTGCACGAGCAGAGAAAGTCCTCCGGCATCCCCCGCCCGCTGCCTTTTTCTGCCCGTGCGCCGAGGCAAGCGAGCAGAGAAAGTCCTCCAAAGTGCCCCCCGCCCCCACCTTTCTTTGCCCATGTGCAGAGGCGCGCAAACAGAGAAAGTCCTCCGGAGTGCCCCCCGCCTTTCTCTGCCTGTGCGCCGAGGCGCACGAGGAGAGAAAGTCCTCCGGAGTCCCCCCTCCGCCCCCTGGCTTTCTCTGTCCGTGCGCCTACAAGCTTGTGTTGTTTTTTTTGTTGGTTTTTTTGGCCCCCCGAAGGGGAATTTTTTTTATTTTTGCATTTTCTACACAATACATATAAGTGGAATGGGAAAAGGAGTACTAATGCCCTACTATTACTATGGGAAATGGGTCAGGGAAGTCTAAATACATATAATCTATTGGATAAGGGGAGGAACAACTACCATTCTATTCTAAATTTCCTACTGGATATGGGGAAGGGGTAGAGACAAATCATGATCTAAAAAGCTCTTGTATTTTGAGAAAGGGAGAAAAATACTTTCTCTACCTGGTCTATCCCATGCATAATCTTATAAACCTCAATCATGTCACCCCTCAGTCGTCGTTTCTCCGAGCTAAAGAGCCCTAAGCGCTTTAACCTTCCTCATAGGGAAAGTGTTCCAACCCTTTTATCATTCGAGTTGCCCTTTTCTGCATTAAAAAATGCATTTCAAGGTGTGGTGACCAGAACTGCACACAGTATTCCAAATGAGGTCACATGATTGATTTATATAGGGGCATTATGATATTGGCTGATCTGTTTTCAATACCCTTCCTAATAAAAATAATAAAACAAGTAAACATTGGCCTTTTTATTGCTTGAGAAAGAAATACTTTTCTCCCTTTCTCACAGTACAAGAACTCGTGGGCAGTCCATGAAATTACTGAGTGGTCGGGTTAGAAATAATAAAAGGAAGTACTTCACCCAAAGAGTGATTAACACATGGAATTCACTGCCACAGGAAGTGGTGGTGGCTACAAGCATGGACGGCTTCAAAAGGGAATTACATAAGCATATGGAGCAGAGGTCCATCAGTGGCTATTAGCCACAAGGTATAGATAGGGGCTCTGGAGCAAGTGATGCTCTGTCTTCTTGGTGCTTCGGGGGGGGGGGTCAACAGAGGGAGGGCTTCTAATGTCCTGGCCCCACTGGTGGACCTCCTGATGGCACCTGGTATTTCTGGCCACTGTGTGACACAGAGTGTTGGACTGGATGGGCCTTTGGCCTGATCCAACACTGGCGTCTCTTATGTTCTTATGTTCTGCTCCACCCCTTTGCTTCCCTAGTCCTACCCCACCTGCCTAGGCTGTTAGCTGAACATCAGCTGATAACAACAGCACATGGCATCAGCTGATGACAAAACCAGGCTCTTCCAGCCGCAATGCGCTTGTAGCCACTCTGGGGCCTGCTCTTCCCTCATTGCTGTGGCTTGTACCTCTTCCACCTGTCCTGGGAGCTCTGCCCCTCTCAGGTGGGACTTGGCCACTCCCTGAAGCTGTGGAGACATTTGGGGGCATGCTTGGGGCAACCTGTCCAGCTTCAGGGATGTTTGTGTTCAGTATTGGGAGCTCAGAGGAGTGAGGGCTTGGCACCAACACGGAACACAGGGAAAGGTTTAACCTGTTTCTCCCATGGCATTTTTCCAATTTAAAACATTCCTGTGCAACCATTATTTCTTTATTTGGTAAAACACACATTTTCTTTATCATAGCAATAGTAACTTTGGGGGGGCGTCTGCATTGGGAAAATAGTAGAGGGGAGAATACTTAAACTCACTCTTCTAGCAGCATGGGCCCAATCCATTCCCCCCCCCAATTAATATTTATAGAAATTTAAAGTCCAACCATGAATCTCCAAAATTTTATCTGGTTTAGCCCAAAGACTCTGACAATCCTTGGACAAATCTTAGCAGACAACAATAAGAAGAAAACTGGAGAAAATAACATCTCTTCCTTAATAATTATCTCAAAAGCTACAAGCCAAAATAAAGAAAATATGAATGGAAAGGTTGTTCAAATGGAGATAGCTTTCTATCATTACATTTAGATACATTTAAACTCAGGTTCAAATATGTAGTCTCATAAAACAGTGCCTTGTGCCAGTCTCTCTGTTTCAGCCTAACCTACCTCGCAGGGTTCTGTAAAGGAGAGAATGAGTTACATTACCCTGAACTCCTTGGAGGAAGGGCATGATAAAATACACTAAACAAATGTAACAAGCTTTATTTTCAGACTATAAGACCCCCCTCCCTCCCAAAAAACTTACATCTTTTCCCAAGACTCTGAGTTCAAATTGAGTTTCCTTGAAGTGGACCTTTGTAATTCTAGGCCTACATGAGAAAATATTAATAAAGATTAAACCATTTTAAAAGATCATTTGGATTGGATGACGGTTTTACAGTAAGTATGCTTATTACAAAATACACACATTTAGCTAGGAAGAACCGACAGACATTAGTATTATCATACAGTGCAAATTTAAAATACTTATGCCCCCCAACTCTTTCAAGGCAGCTTCTGTAATAATAAAATGTTATAAAACTAGGAGTAAACAAAAATAACAGCTTCATTTAAAACCCCCTTTTTCAAGTACAATCTATAGTTAGAATCAACCAGAGACAGTAGCTTGGACTATGCCAAAAAGATCAACTGTATGAGAAAGGTGAACAAAATCCAAATAATCTATTTAATTGAAGAAGGCATGGAACTCTGGGTCAACTATCCTTCACAAAAACAGGATATCTGCCACTCACTGATACTTGTCAAAACTGTTTGGATCAAAGAAGAAATTCTTCGGGTCAAGTGTTTGAGACTAAAAGTCAACCAACAGTTAGAAACAATATAGATGCTTTCTCCTGAACGTATTGTTAAAGGGGGCAGGGTTTCAGCGAGCTGATGGCGGCTGTGTCTCCTGGGATCTCCCAGGGAGGCAGCTCGCAAACCAGCAGTTAGACAGGGGGTGCGAATGTCTGCACCCCCCGGAGACCTTTGCGAAAGGTCTCCAGTCATGGAGCGCTGAGGGTCGCCTCTTTCCCGGCACGCTGTTGGGAAATTCAGGAGTCCCTTTGCTCCGACAGTCTTTCTGCTGTGTTCCGGCAAGGACTAAGCTACACACACCCCATCAAGTGAGTGGAGGTTGAGCAGCAAATAAGCATATCTGTCGGCGAGATCCACTTGATCTACATATGAAGTGAGTAAAGTTGAAATGAAACAACAAAGCGAAAGCCCCCTGGGGAAAAGCGAGGGGAGAGAGGGGACTCTCCTCCGCTAAGAACTGTTTATAAGCATTACGGAGCTAGAAGAAAGGGGGGGCAGGTTTAAAAGCAGCAATGGACTATACGGAGAGATTCCAGGAGACAGTTAAGCATTGAAGCAAGTTTTCGTGACTTTGGCAAACTTTGTAAAAATAAACATCCTTAAAAATGGCGGCAGACAACGTAGTAAGAGCAACAAGTGATATCCAAGCTTTCTCCAGGAAGTGGAAGAGCTGCTGGTTAACCATCTGACCGGAAATAATCATAGACTTTTGCAAACTGTGTCTTAAGCCTTTGTTCCCTGTTGGTATAAACGAGGTACTATGCAAGAACTGTGCTACATGTCAGCTGTTGCTTTTAAAAGAACTGTGTTAATATTGGAGATGTGTCTAACCAATGATCATAGGAGCTTCCAGGATCGAAGAGGAGAATCAAATGGGCATTTGCAATTCGAAGGGCCTGTATGCAGACCATAAGCGAGGCTTAAAGTGAAGGAGTATCCTCCATAGTTATATCCTGATTAAGTCTGCTGGGCAATAAGGTGACGAGACTCTCTTCAAGTCGGACAGTGAAAAGCAAATTGGAACAAGCCCTATGATTGAAGGCAAGAATTTAAGCGGAACAGTCCTGGAAAAAGGAGAAGGGACTTTGTTTTGAGATGGCCAGTTCCTGATACAGCAAGATGGTGCCACAGAGATGAAGAAAGAGAAAAACAGCAATGGAAGAGAAAATGAGATTGTGTAATATTTACCGAGGGAGACTTATTGTTAATTTGCTTTTAATTGTGGAGGGAAAAATAATGGTTAAATGAGATGCCATTGTTCTCTGTAATTTGTGTCTAAGTTAAATAGCGATTCTCCTGGACTACTCTTCATATAGTCAGATTTGTTTGGATGTTTTTACGAGCTATGATGATGATTGATCACTCTCAATGTTAAAGAAAGCTTTTTATTATTCTTAAGCAAATTTTTACAAGCTGTATGTGACCTCCAACCCTTGGGGTTTTAGTGGGTTTTCTTTTCTTTCTCCTATAGTGTGAAGATTCCCTCCCTAATTTCACTGTAGTTCTTAGTAAATGCAAATAAAAATGCCCTACAGGGGGCCATAAAAAACAAAAACAAAAAACCCTGAATGTATTGTTAAAGACAGCTCCTAATCAAACCAATCCCCAAGACACTGCTCCTAGAATTCAGCAAAATCCCCCATAAGAGCCCTGGGTGCAACACGGGGGTTCCGCAATGGAAAGAGGAGGCAAAAATCTCCTGCTCTTCTACCAGCATAAATTACCTTCAGCTGGCAGGGGCAAAAGGGTTGAATACAATGCATGCTTATATTGCTTTACTAAGCCACATTATTGCTAGGTGGACTAAACTGACAGACTTCACTTACCAGAAATATTTTCCAACTTGCTTTTTATTTTTATAAACAACCACTCCAACAGGTGTTAATCCTAGAAAATATTCAGATTTGCTTTCACCCTGAAAAATAATTTTAAAAGTATACAAGCACTTAAAGGATATCATTTTCTGATGCTCATGCCTTCAAAACTTAGTTCACCATACGTTCTTATTCAAAAAATCCAATAAGCTTCGAATTTGTTTCCATAAATAAGCCTTGTTGCAAATGTTTTCATATTAACAGTAAAAATATGAAGGTTTTATTTGATGGATTGTTTTTTCCAGGAATAAGCTACAGAAGAGCATTCTTACAAACTGTAAACTAAGCTCAATTAATTCATACTATCATGTAAAAGGTTTTTCCCAATGTTAGTTGGCTTCCTAGGAATTTTATCATTATAATATGTCCATATGTATTGCTATGTTCTCATTTTTTTGGTATCATACCTTTCACTGAATGAGCATTTCATCATGACTTTACCAAGCAAATTTCCCATGCTTCCATTCATTCCTTCAAAGTGGCTTTTCATCTTAGATTCATAATTCAAGGAGACACTTAGCTTACAAACATATCACTTCTCTTGAGAGTGAAGCACATGCATGGGAAAGAAAGTTTAAATCTTCCACCCATCCCATGCCACCCAACCAGAAATGACCCTTTCTGAGGACTGCTTTAAGAATTCATCAGGAAAAAGTCAGGTATCCACACTGTATGGGAGGGGAACCCTTGCCCTTCTACCCATGCCACAGCCCCTATCCAGCTCTCTCTTTCTCTCTCTCATGCACATATGCATCAGATTTTTAGGGCCAAATTGACTGGGAGCTCCAAAGAACTCCAGCATCACAAATAATTTGACCCTCATTCAATTTCTGGGAGAAGAAAGGACTTGGGAAATGTTACCACATGAAGCTTAAACAGTTCTTGCTTGGGTTGGTTTGTAATGTGAATGTAAATTTTTTATTATTTACAATGTTCATTCACTCCAAAGGCCTCCCTCTTACTTTTTCTTTTACAAGACTATGTAGTCAAGCTGACTTGGTGCAAGGACTACTTGAAATGACTTGTTGCTTCCACTTTTGCAAAAGCTGACAAACAGCTAAGTGCTGTGGGATCCAACCTACTGTCCAACCAGTTTTTTCCACTGGTAAAAAAGGGAGGAAGGGTTTCTCCTTGACCAACAAAAAAGGCTAAAGGATCTGCATGGACAAAAGCCACGTGAGATGGAGGCTGTACAGGGGGGGGGGGGGGCTGGTCTACACTGGGCAAAAAAGATGGAAGAATTCAATCCCATATGTGGATCTCATATGTGTTCTTCCCCCAAACTATAAAATTAATGGGGAAGCTCTTGAAGATGAGAAAGCTGTATGGATGTGTCATGGTGACTTTGCTCATAAACAGTTGTCAGAAGAGAGAAGTTGTATAGTATTACAAATCCTCTTCCACAAAAAGAACATTATGCAAGTAACAGATGGTTCAGAGCAGAAAAGATTATTTGTATGCAGTTCATAGAAACTGGATCCAAACCTCTCCACAGTAAGTCCCACAATTTAACTTCCTAAAAAAAAAATTTAGCATCTGTCTTTCAACACACGAGAGAAAGAATAACAAAAGATAAATTCTAGTATAGGGAGGAAGCATGTTAGCATCATCAAATTAAGGCATTCTTCTTCAGTCCTCAGTTTTGTTTTGAATACTTCTATGATTTACAATTTTTGTTTTTAAAAGGTTTATAATATTTTGAAGATTAAGGACATTACATGAAAATAAAACTATTTCAACTCCAACTGCTAAATTCAATTTAATGTCTGCTTTTGGTGCTGTTTGTCTGTCACAAGTACAATTGCAAATCATTAAGTTTTAATTAATAAGCTGATGGTGGAAACACATTGGGTTAAAGTTCAAATACAAAAACATGCTGTATGCCTTGTTATGTAAAAGCATAAAATGTCAGATGCTCTAAAGAAAACACGTTACAAACAAATTATTTTTAAATGCTCTGTTTGTATTTGTAGGAACCTTCAGCACCTCCCCCCAATACTGAGCTAATTATTTTCTATTACTTTCACATTTTAAAGGTCTTACATTCTTGAAGTACTTTGATAGTTCCTGTCTGAATACATGCACTGTAATAAACCCCTTGTTCCAACACTTAGACTAAATCCCTCAGATTTGTTATCCATATTGTTTTGTTCCAGTATAGTTGTCTTCTGTATGAAAATGCAAACACTTTCTTTCATACAAAGCCTACTAGTCTTCCCTGAGCATCAACCTGCTTAATCCATGCTCTTTCAAAGTATGTGCTCTTATAGATTTAAACCTTACTTAAGGGGGGGGGGGAGCAGAGCAACAGATTATAAAATAGCTTAGTTATGACTTTACATTTTGTGAACTGAATCTTCTGCCATCCAGAAACTGCACAATTAGGTATGCTGAGCCCTTTGTGTTGAATGGAAAACTGCTTTTACAACTGAACAGAATTTCAAAAACTGCAATAAAATATCTGCTGTTGAAAAAAAAAATCAGCCTGTAAAGTACTGGGTTCACACATGGAGACTCGGACTACAACATGCTAACTAGACACGTTTACTGTTCTTCACAAGTGAACACCCATGGCCTGGCAAGGGCCAACTATATACACTCCACCCGGGCACACCCACAGTTCCATGGGGGGGTGGTGGATTTCCCTCCAAGGTCCTATTGGGTGGACTAGGATCCTTGGTCCCTATTGTGTTTGGAACCATGCTAAGGACTGAGGCCACTGACCCCTGGTGGCAGCCCATGGACACAACACAGCCATTCTACTGAGTACATGTCTACGTATACATAAAGTATTGTCAAGTCACAGCCAACTTATGGTGACCCCCATAAGGCAGGGGTGTCAAACGTATGGCCCGAGGGCCCAAACCAGTCCCTCCAGGGCTCTTATCTGGCCCATGAGCAACTGGTGCAAGGTGGCTGTTCAGGGTGAGGGGCGGGCAGGTGCATGCAGTGTGTGTGATTGAAGCTGTCGAGAAATAGGAAGGAAATTGCTAGGGGGCAGGACTATGAGGCTGAGGTAAAATAGTGGTGGGGAAATGGCAGCAAAGGCAGAGAAAGAGGAGGTGTGGTGGTTTTTCCCTTCCTGCCTCCTCCAACTGCAGCTCAGTGAGAACTGGGAAAACCACTATATGTGGAGGGTGGCAGAGCTGCCACTGCCACACCAAACAGAGACCCATGAGCAGGGTTGGTGAGAGCGAGCATGCAGAGTGGTGGTTTTCTGGTGAAGGGACAAGGCTGACTGGGGAGAAGGGAGGAGGAGGGGCCACCACATGGATTGGAAGGCAACTGGGCTGTCTTGTGTTTGCCACTCTGAGCGGAAAGATGTCCTGGCCTTGGAAGTGAGTGGAGGCGTGAAGGGGAAAAGGGGTGCCACTGTCACCACTACACATCTGAACATCCATGGAGCCAGGAGGCAGAGGGAGTGTTGGGGAGGGGGGGATGGTGTCCTTCTCACCCACACCTGTTTTCACCCCATTAAGGAAAAGGGGTCACAGGAGGACAAAAAGCACCCCTTGGAGGTTTTGGAAACAGCTTCTCCATCAGGCCTTCCCCTCAGCCCTGCAGCATCTGTGTGAAATACAGGAGGGATGAGAACTGGTGGTGGTGGTGGTGAGATCTGGGTGAGCCAGGTTCAGAACCCCCCCCCCTCCGAGCCAGGACCCTGTTGTCTGGGTCATCCAGGGATTGTCCCTCAGCCTGGACCACTTCTCAGGGTCGTTGTTGTTGGTGGGGATGGGGCGGTGGAGGGGGAAATCTGGTGTGCATTCTCAAGATCCTCAGAGGTAGGACAGGAAACAAAGAGTGAGAGACGGATTGTAGCCATGCTTCACTGCTGAGGCTGGGCAGGGGTGCTGATAAGCTACCTTATTTACTTGCAAGGAAGATTACTCATCTCCTAAAAGTGCAATATATACAAGTAAATAATTTGTATGGAAATGTAAGATACTCCCCCCCTTTATGGTATCCCTTGGAAAAAAAACCTAATCTTACATATGATTAGATACATTTATTTAGGGCTTTTGTAGATTCCCCAATAAATCAATTACTTTCACTGCTAGGAATCAATTGCTTTTGTTTGTAAAAAATAATATTATTATTTCGGTTTGCCTGTGTTATTTATAAAGTTTATATCTCCAGTACCTGGCATTACATTTTATAGCATGCATGGTCAAAGCCCCAGAAAAAGGAGTAACAAGGCTTGGACCATACTCAACCTCCCTAGTGGTAGGTCTTCTAGCATGCCGTGGCTGGGTAAGAGCTCCTCCTTGATCCCACATCCATTCCACTACCTGAAAAAGAACTTGATATGTCTGCAACCAGTATAGCCAGGATGCCAAAAGTGCTGCAGTCTTGCAGAGTATGCATATATCCCCAGGCTTTAGTAATTCATGGGATTCCAAATTCATGCCCCCAAACCTTGATTTGCTATGGTTGCCTGTCTCTAGCACTCCAGTGTGATCCAGTAGGTTTCCTCACAGAAAGTACACCACCTATATCCTTGTCCTCCTACAATATTTGATTGGGGAGGTGGAGAGTATCCAAGCCTTATTCATTTTGAAATATTTTTTTTCCTATCCAGGTCATACATGTACATCAAAGTCCACACAAAGTCCTTATACATGTGAATTGCCATCTTAACTTTAACGAGACATTCTGAAGAGCTTCTTATGTACATCTGAGACGAACATCCACAAAAAATTGCTTGGCAGAGCAACATTCTGCAATAGTGTACGCAGTTACACTCATGTAGACTTGTTATTTAAAATATTACTTACATAGACAGGATGAAGATCAACTCCATACATTTCGAGTGTTCTTGCCACCCCTAAGTAATTCATTTCTGCCTCAGCAGGAACTTGGCCCCTATTTAACATAACAATCATAAAGATATCTACTCAATATGGAAAAATTTATTGGGGAAAATTATATTCACGTGACTTCCTGATGTGAGGAATGTTGACAAAGCCCAGTTTGTGTGTTATAAAGAGTGCCAGTATGCTTTGTATCCACTCAAACATACCACTCGGGTTATGAACCCTGTGAGTTGGACTCTTTGTACAAGCTTCTGCTCCTTTCACACCATTTAGCGCTCCTTTTTTTGATGGAAAGAAACTGTGCCAACAGGGTCTCACAGCAATCAAGTGATAATATAAAATCCCACTGCTCATGGATATATTTCTTGCCAGGGAAAAGGAGGGGAAGTGCCATTATTTCAGGATCATGATGCCACCACCAAGGTGGAAGAAAGGCCTCTCAAAATATCTTAGTAGATGGGTAGAATCAAATAGAAGGCTATCCCTGGATCAGTTCATGTAGAGCTTTAAGGGTAAAACCAGCACTATGAATTATGTCTAGGGATGGGCACGGACCCCCCAAACAAACCCTGGTTTGAGCACAAACCAGGTTGGTTTGTGATTTGTGAACTGGGGTCCAGGGAATGTGTCTCCCACGATACGCCCATGAACCTCCATGTTTTTCATGGAGGTTCATGAAGTTCATGGGAGACATGTTCTTGGCTCCAAAGGCATTTAAATGCCTTCAGAGCTTACTTCCAGGTCCGGCAAACCACCTGGAAGTGAGCTCCAAAGAAATTTAAATGCCGTCGGAGCTCACTCGGGTGTGGCTGTGGGCCAGTGGTGGGCTCTGACAGCGTTTAAATGCCTTCAGGGTTCACTTCTGGGTGGGGTCGTTCTACCACCTCCTGAACTTATGAACCGAAAGGATCACGAACCGGTTTGATAAACAGAAAAATTTGTGTAAGTTCGTGGTTTGTTTAATCAAACAAACTACTAATCCCAACAAACCACCATTTCCCCAGTTCGTGTCCATCCCTAATTATGTCCAAAAGCAAACCAGTAATTATAAAAAACATGATCACTGCTCATTGCCCTTTCAACAACATTGCGGGTCTGAATACCATGTCCCAGCAGAAAAACTACAGCCATTTGAAGAGACTTGAGGTGTCAGTCCTCTTATAGAAGACTCTCTGTCTGTCTTCATGACTCCTTGATCCATAATCACCTGACTCACTTCTGAAATATGCTTTATCCTTTTCCTTCAACTTTTTGATTGACATAGAAAATTCTGCCAAACAACTATGTTGACTGATGAGCTGAATCTTACAAATTATGAACACTGCTTGCTTTTGTAAAATATGCTCTTGCTGCTGTGACTTTTATCTCTCTTATGGTAGATGGTGCATTTCTGTTTTTATAAAACGGTGTGATCTTCCTGTCTTTTTCTGTGCTTATTCATGTCATTTAATAATGCCTCTGGTTGGAGGCTAAAGACACTAATGTATATTATTATAATGTAAATAGTGACTATAAAGCAGAAGAGCCAGGTATTAAATCATGTTCCAGAGAAAGAAAATATTTATCTACACTATAAGCTGATATTAGCTTTATGCCACTTTAATTGTCGTGCCCTGAAAAATCCTGGGAATAGTAGTATAAGGACTTGCTGAATTCTGTTTGAGATCTCTAGTAATTCCTCATAGAACTATAATTTCAAGGTCATCTGTTTCTGGAAATTCTATCTAAAAGTATCCTAAGCTCTCCTGGTATGCATGAACATTATTTTGGGCAATATAGCTACTTTCTAGGAACAGTATGTGCTAATCAAAACTGGGATTATTGAGGGTATGAATTAGCACCGACTGAATTTGCAATATTAGCATATTGCCATTTTCACAAAAAAATGGCAATGATGCATACCAAGAGGACTACACATAGCACACTCTCCCAAGTATGCAAGACAGGAGGGTTAGAAACAGGCTTATTGAACCAGGGTAAGTATGTAGTACAGATAAGCTCAAAGAGACTATGCATAAACTGTACAGATGTAAAATAAAAATCTTCCTTATTCACAGCAGCACTCTTTTTCTCTTGAGCTATTTAACTTTACAGTGCAGGCTTAGCTAATACAACCAAATACTTACACCAGAGTTTTATGTATCCGTTCTATAGCATCTTCTAATTCTTCTTTCTGGTCTGGAACAAAGCGGTATTCTGATACATAGCCAGCAGTGTGCTTGTATGGGTCATAATCTCCAAGTTCAGCTATACAGAACATACCAAACAAATTCACACACTTTTTGGGTGTAATTAACACACTCTTATTTCCCAGCACAAGCATCAGAACTAAATAAAACACAACTAAATTAACATAAAGCTGGGAGATCAAGAAAGGGGAATCGGAGAACCCAAGGTAGTTCAGAGCACTAAAATATACTATGAGCTCCTCATGAATTTCATAGAATTACTGCATTCACAATGAAGCAGCTGGTAATAGATGATCTAAAATTGTCTTCTCCGTACTACATATATGCCCAACTCAAGTCTCCAACATTTTTCGTAGGAGAGGCATAATTATCCATGAAATTGTATCAGAACAAGAATCACCACTTTTATTAGAACACACACCCCATGTTTCTGTGTAAGTCACACACTATTCAAGGCGTGCCTCCTTTGGAAGTAAAGTACAGTGACTGCTGTGGAGACACAACAGGCACCATGCTCAAGACAGACATGCAGCACAGCAGAAGCTAATAGGAAATAATGTCAGAGCAACCAATCATGCAAATATACAGCAGCCAGCCTCCTCTGTAGGCTGAGCCCATGGGAGATTTTAATTATTGAATTAACCTGTTTTTCAGAGCACAGAGGACTAGTATGCTCCAATGCATAATTTGTGAATTACTAGTGTAACTGATACAAAAAGGTGTACATCAATGGTACCACAGTGGAGCTGGTCAGCCATTCTATACTAATACCAATAAAACTGGTTGTTGTGTCTTTAGGAAATGGTATACTTACTAATTATCACAACCTGCCAATACCTTGTTCATATGGTGTCTTATTCTGTTCCACTTCTGTGTTATGATTGCACAGGGGTTCAATTCTGCAGTTGCTGATTGATGGCAATGTGATAGTTCTCACAAAGCCAAATGTGGTTTCACAAAGCCCTCACTCAGCCTTTAATACTAGCACAAGATAATCAGTTGGGATATCACACACAGGCAGCTTTTTAGAGCCCATTCTGAATGCTTATCTGCTTGCTCAGACTGTTTGCAATCAGAGCTTCAAGCTTAAATCCCATACAAAATAGTTCTCACATCTGTTATCCCCAGAAGTAGTAATGCTAAGAACTGAACCCAGATACATCTTTACTTTTTGAGTATATTCTGTGAGTGATGTCACATTCACACTAAGCACAGCTAAGCTGCATTTTTTCCCAGCAAGACAAAGTGAAGCATATGCTTTGATTTCCAGTTAGAAAAGGAACCATCAAAACTAAAAAAAACCCACAAATGTAGTTAAATAGTGGCATCAAAGAAGCCATAAAAAGCAAAGAGGCTTCCTTTAAAAAGTGGAAGTCTTGCCCAAATGAGAAAAACAAAATGATTCTGCCATGATCATTTTCGATCTGCAGGAGGCGGCTGAAGACAGTTTTATTTACAAGTGCATTTGACTATTTTCCCCCCATGTAAATTTTTATTAGGTTTTCACACATTATAGGGCAGGAAGACTACAGGGGATGGGATAGGGCATTATAGGGCAGGAAGGGTACAGGGGATGGGATAGGACATAAAGGGAAATTCCATCAAGTTTATATAATAGCTGTTACAAATTTTCCATCATAATTCTTTGTTTCCAAATCTCTTCCTTTTGTACAGTTACTAAGACTAGTGTCACTTAATCAAATCGCCGAAGTCTTCTATTATGATTCCTGAAAAGAGTCAGGTTCTATACAGTTCAAGTTAGATTCTCTAAGTTTATAATATTTATATTCATTGTTCTTGGTCTTCGAAGTTTCTTTCCACCCAGTCATAAAATAGTATCCATTTGTCTCTCACATTCTGTTTACTTCGGTCTTTCAACAAGTCCGACAGTATGTCCATTTCTGCTGTCTCGAACTTTTTTGTCAAAAGTTCACTTTCTGTTGGTATCTCTGATTTCTTCCAGTACTTAGCATAAAGGATTCTTGCTGCCGTAACTATATGTATAATTAAATAATTAACTTTTAAATCTTTTACATCAGGCATAATATTAAGCAAGAACATTTCTGGTCTAAATGGTAGTGGTACTTAAACATATTTTTTGTAGCATTTCATGAACCCTTCTCCAATATAACATCACCTCTTTACACTTCCACCAAACATGAAAAAAGCTTCCCACCTGTATCTTACATTTCCAGCATTTATCAGACATTGCAGGATACATTCTGGCTAATTTCTCTGGCGATATATGCCACCTATAGAACATTGTATATAAATTATCTTTAAAGGCAACCGATTTTGTTATTTTAACATATTCTTGCCTCTTCTGTCTCATCCTCCATGGTACCTCTTTCAGAATTTTAATCACATTTCCTGTTATAGTCAGGTCTTTGTCTCTCATTCTCCTCAGCACCTCATCTCGCACTGCTCTTTTAGTAAATTTCACGTGAACCTCTGTTGGTTCTTTGTTCTTTCTAGCGTATCTTGAATTTACTTTATATATCATGTCTATCTTTCTTTGAAGATCATCCATTTCGACCTCCATTTCTAATGCAAGTGATTGTGCTAATAAAAGGGACAAGTCCTCTTCCTTATCCTCTGGGATGTTCTGGAACCTCAGCATATAGGCCGCTCTGTCCATTTTCAGCTTAATCATTCTGTCATCTTACAGCTGTTGTGCTTCTACCAGTTCTTTTACTTTCTGTTGGGTCTTTTCTGCTCTTTTGTCAGTTTTTGTAATAGTCTTCGCTAATTTGGTGGTTTCTTGTTTGTTTTCCTTAAGTTGATTTGGAAATCCTCCATTTTATCAATTCCAATTCCAATAACCTTTATTGGCATAACAATAACTTTAAAAAGTAAAGATAACAAATCAGCCCATATGCCAACAAAGAGAAACAATCAGAGTACAGCGATTTGTAACATTGTATATAGTAATAATAACAGGGCAAAGTGATAAAAGTTCAGAACAGTAATCTCGAGTATCAGAGTAATTAAAACAGTTACAGTAAGAAGCTTAACTATCTGAAGAGAAATCATAGATACACCTTATCTCTCTCACTCACTCTCCACCTCCTTTCCTCTTCTTCTTTCCTTTTTCCCCCCCTATTTTTCTTGGCCCCTAAGTACATTTACCAGGAACTCTGCCACCTGTGTAGTAACTTTGGGGGTTTTGTCCGCTAGCAAGAATTCAATACTTCTATTGGTTGCAGCCTTAGAGAGTTGAAGGAGAGGGATAATCAAGTGTAAATGTAGCTGAGTAAACAGCGGGCAGTTTAAGAGGATATGCTGAACAGAGTCAGGTTCTTTGCAGAGACATCTGCAGAGTCTTGCCTCATAGGGGATCCATTTTATCATTTATACCTTTGATCTGAGTTGTTATCTGGGTTAGGCTGTTCTGTAATTGGCTCAACCCAGTTAAAAAAGTTGCTTGCAAATTTGCCTGGAGCTCTTTTAAAGAGTCTTGTGATAACATTGCTCCCACTGATTTGATTTGACCCGGAGAAGGATTAGGGGAGAAAGAAGATGTATTCTTCCTATCTAGCTTACTAGGTTTGCTCATTTTCATATGTTTATTCTAATATGTTTAATTTCATTTGTCAATATTTTAAAAACTATTCAAAACCAATACAATTATATTCTCCAATCCCAAAATACAATAACAAATCAAGTTTTCACCATATTCTTTCTACAATCATATAATGCAGCCCACCTTCTTCTTCTTTTTCCCCCAGACCAATATTTAACAAATAAGCAAATTTAGTCTTATAGCAAGCTTTCTCTGACTCACAGTCTATAAATCACTTCCACAGATAAGAATGTTTCTTCACTCTGACATTCCAGAGCTATTCCAGATATGAACAAAACCTCTTCTGCCTTCCAGTTCTCTAAATGTGCCTCGGTTTTAAAATGCCTGGTGTTACTCTTCACTCTGACATTCCAGAGCTAATCCATATATGGGCAAGCTTCACTCCACGTCACGCCGGAAGTAGAACAATTTTAAAAAGATGCACGTCACTTCCACCCCACCAACAAACTGTAATTCTCAAAGTCTAACTTTGATTCTCACCAACAAACTGTAATTCTCAAAGTCTAACATTTAATCTAACTTTATTTATTGAAATTGTATGAATTGTATTTTATTTTGTATTTGCTGGTTTTAAACTGTATGTTGGTTTTAAATTGTTTGTAAGCCGCCCTGAGCCACTTTGGCGGGAGGGCAGGGTAGAAATTTAATAAATAAATAAATAAATAAATAAAGTCAGACAAAATAAAGCATATTATTATAATCCTCTTTGGGCAAAATGACTCTGGAAATTTGAGCCACTTTATGACTTTTGCTTGTATATCAAACTGGACCCCTCAGGAAAACCATAGTATCGGAGAGGACTCTCATTACAACCAGTTCTCTTCCTAGCCAGGAAAACAGACGCTGTCCCTCCATCTCCAATTAGAGTGAAAGCCACTTTCTTCGGGGGGGGGGGGACTTTCAACCTTCCACCCGCCTTCCTCCCAGAGTCCGGCTGTGCAGGTTTGTATTCTCAAATTAATCTCTCAGTTCAGATCTTCTTTAATCAGGAAACAATCTTACTTATTTGGAAAGTTCTCTAAAACAACATCGCTTCATCTGCCCACTCCTCTCACTGTGGGGTATTCATGGCTGCGTGCCAACATGGCTCCTGAGTCAGTCTCTGCTTCAGGGCAGATGATGAAAGCTCAATCCCCACAGCCGCTGCTTAGGGAGAGCTTCTACGTCACGCCCTCTGCTTTGGTGACCCTTCTCCTAGGGTCTCCTTAGATCCCGGTTTCCCCCAAGACCTACAAACTGGGTGGCTCAACTCTCCTTCAGGAGCAGCTCTGAGGAGAGACCGAAGGTGCAGCGCCGAAATCCCGCCTCCTCCCGCATTTGACTAATTTTGTTTTTATTTATTGGCAATCCTGAGAATTTAAACTGTTGTCTTTTATGTGTTTTACAACTGTTTTATTTATATTGTAAGCCACCTTGAGTGCTGCAAGGTAGAAAGGTGGCAAATAAATGTTTTAAATAAATAAATAAAAACAAATGCTAAGTGGATGATGTGAAATAAGAATTTCAAGAGCATAAAGTAAGAATTACTTTAATCATATAAGAAGCAGAAAACCAGCCAGGGTTAGATATTAATGGAGTAGATGGATTGCTAAAGCAAGAACAAGAGAACAGAGACATGCTGAATGAATTCATTGTAATCTGCTTCAAGACTGAGCACTATTATGAAGATCATTAAGGTTACCAAATATTTTATGCTCTGGCTTTTTTAAGCTTCTGGATTTTAATGCATTTTTATGATTGCAGGTTTTATTGGCTGGTTTTAGTGGTTATTAATTTTAATAATTTTTAATGTTTTATAATTTTTAATGTTTTATTTTTGAGCCATCTAGAGCAGGTCTCTGAAGAAGCAAAGCATATGTATTTTAAATAAACAAAATAAATAAAGGGAAGTCCTGCCTTTCCAGCCATTTGAACTTTAGACAGTGACAGCAAGAATGCACTTAAGTGTGATCCAGTAGTCATTATATACATGTTTACTGAGTAGTCTTTAGAAAGTGGCTTTGTAAAAGGCTTTTTGCGTCATGGTATATGTTCTTGTATAGATCTAATAGATCTATGGTGTAAGTTTAGGATAAATAGATTTATGGTGTAAATTTGGGATACTGTACAAAGTTCTAGTCACCCCATGAAAACAGGTGGGGGAAAGTGCAGAAAAGTACAACCAAAATGATCAAAGGTTTGGAACACTTTCTCCAAATGGACAGGGATGGACAGGGATAAAGAGCTTGGAGTTTTTCAAGTTAGAATAAACAGGCTATGAAAGTTCATTATGCATGCTGTAGAAAAAGTGGATAGTTTTGTTTTTTTTCTCCTCTTCCAAAATACTAGAGCCGGGCCAACCAGTGAAATTTATGAGCATTAGTCACAGGACAGAAAAAACAAAATACTTCTTCACACAATTAATTTGTACACCTCACCATCATGAGATGATGGCTGCTATCTTTCATAGCTTTAAAAATAAATGAAAGTCCACAGCTATTGGCCAAGATGGCTGAAAGGGACTCCAGATGCAGCATACCTCTGAATACCATCATCATAAAGTTTATTATATGGTCAACAGACCTTCAAGATACAATCGTTCTCTGAATACCAGTTTCTGTGAGGCAGCAGCATAGGAGAGGCTTTGGCCTCTGTGCCCTTATTGTGGTGGTTCAGGGATATCTGGTCAGCTATCATCAGGAACAGGATACTGATTAGATGGACCACTGGTCTGATGGAGGTGGTTTCTTCTTATGATCAACTGAAAGCAATGGGATTTAAAACACACTTCATATTTTCTCATGACTTGAATTTCAGTGACTACATGCTCAGGGTCCACAAAGACTACAAAAATATTCATTTGTAAATTAAGAAAAACAAACTTCCCATCCCACAGAACATCTTGATGAGATCTAAGCATGCTCATTGGTCTCCAGGATGTTGAAGACAGTTGAAAGTCAGTTAAAGAAAAAGAAAAACAGAGAGGACATTGGGCTGCTCAAGCCCCTAACAGTTTATAGTCTTCTGAGGGCACACATTAAGCATCTCTTGACTACAATCTCAACTCTGTGAATTCTTCCACCAAGCACAGAGAGGAAGAAGTAAAAACGTCCTCCTTTCTGCATTGTACTGCTCAGTCTTAGAGCTTGAACAGGAGCTTCCAGTTCACCCAGTTCCAGACTTCGGCAATCAGGACTACAGAATAATTGCACTACAGCACTAAACTTTTCCTCCAGAGTTCATCATGGACACCCCAGCTTGTAATCACTGAATTTATACATTTTTCCCCTACATGAGTTTGAGGCATACTGTCATGATTCTGGGCCTAAAGCTGAAAAAGAAGCAGCCTGTAGACCTCAAGGAAACCTCACTTCCACAATAGGCCTACATTTCCCAAGCTTTATGATTGGACCATGGAAAATAGAGGGAAAACAGACACCTATTCATGTAAAATGGGCAAAGCTCCAACAGACAAAATATAAGGTCCTACCCAGATAGGGTTACCAAGCACTTACCTTGCACTGGCGGGGATTGGGAGGGAGCTTGCCAGGAGTGGGGGTTAGGGTGACATCACCCCACACTATGCTCTGGTTTTGGGTAAAACTCTATGGTAAAGTTGGGCTCAAACCATGGAGTTTCACCCAAAAACTAGAGTGTCACTGCATGATGATGTTGCTTCCGAGTGGAGTCAAGGGTCGTAACTGTTGGGGGTGGGCAGGAGCCTGAGAAATTGGGGGACCCACTGCTCCCAATCCTATGCCCAGAGAAGGAACATGTTTTTCCCCTGGAAATTGAGCAGCAGTGAGGTTGCTCTTGGACAGGGGAGGGGCCATGGCTTAGCGGGAGAGCCTCTGCTTGGCAGCAGAAGGTCCCCAGTTCAATCCCCAGCATCTCCAGTGCAAAGGACCAGGTAGTAGGTGATGTGAAAGATCTCCAGCTGAGAGTTGATCCCTTGTCCCATGGTGGGGTGAGTCAGGCCTCCTTTGATCACATATTTATTTATTATATTTATACCCCGCCCATCCTGCGAACATATTGAAACAGAGTAGAGACTAAGTAAGGTAATCACATCAGGGACCTTTGTTGATTTCTGGCTGGCTTCTTTCTTTGTGAGCTTGGCCTGTATTTATTCTGACCTATTTTTATAACTTTTCTACTGGTCACTCACTTGCTCTAACATTCGTTTAATAAACCAGTTCTTGTTCACTCTGCTTGGGTTCTTCTCACCTCAAATTTGGCCATATACCAGGACACACCCTGATTGAAGAAGGGGCTGTCTGGGGGCAGGGAGGGTGCTCTGAGCCCTCTCTAGTGAAGCCCTAGAACCAGAGTGGTGGCAGTCTGTTAAGGCCCTTGCCTGCTCCAGGCCTGAGGGGAGTAGGGGGAAAGGAGGGGGTGTGCAGGAAGGGAGAGATCCCCGGAAGGAACTTTCTACCTGTGGCAAACTTGCTTGGCCATGCATCATTCCATGACACATACATAATTGGCTTGAAGCATGTACAATAAAAAGGTATTGCAGAAAGAACTGACAACAGAAGTGCAATATAATTTGAACAGAAGCACATACATTGTATTGCATAAGCTCCCAGCTGAGCAGCAATGTTGAAAGGACAAGGCAAGCGGCCTTGCAAGAGATCTTGTTTCACTTGTAAAAATACCTGATACCTAAAAACAAAGAAAGAAAGAAACTGAATATGAAACTGAATAATGGCTTGAATTACTGCATTATATAACATAATTTGTGAACCTTTCATTATGGAACTTTGTTATATTTTGGATGGGTCATTCAATTCTGAGAATAAATGCACATCCAGAACATAATTCTTAAAGCTATGTTAGAGTGAGCTGTTACCTATAGCTTTCATTTTTACTTTATTCAGAAGTTCCACCATGTCAAAATACAAACATGAATGAACCAAATGGGTTCACAACCAAAACAAAGAGAACTGTGATTTCCCATATTATTTAAAAAGAAATAAATAAATAAGTTTCATAACAGGCATAACAAGCAAATAAAACTATAGTATTAAATGGCTTGCTCATGCTCTCTTTATAAAAGGAAGGACATCCGCAATTTTTTACTACTATTAAAAAGTACCTACTGTGTCCTATCCTTAGTGGCTAGAGATGTTATTTATACTATACCTGGTAATTTCTTCCTTTAGTTTGCAAGGATCCTCTGCATAGAATTTAACTCCGAAATACAAGGTATATGGTGGACCAGCTATTAAAAATAAGAAAACTCATTAATTTTGAAGTATATATAAATGTTTCTTTGCACATTATATTACACATACTATAAACCCATACACATTTACTTGGAAGGAAGTTTCACTATTTTCACAAAACCCCACTGAAGACAGTGTGCACTGAACTAGGGATGGGCATGAACTGGGAAAATGTGGTTTGTATCGGTTTGTGGTCTGTGGTGCATGCGGTTAGCGAGCCATGGACCATCCCAAATGTTTTGACACTAGATGAACCAGTTCAGTTCATGAGGTTCGTGACACACTAGAACAGCCCACAGTGTGCTAGAGAAACCAAACAGAGGACCCCTGGCCCCCCCCCCCAAAAAAAGACCATTTCCTCCAAAAGACCATCACCAGGGGTCTCAGAATCTCCTTCCTATATGTGTTCCTGGGGCTCTCTGCAGAGGCAAAAGAGTTGTCAGCACTGCTGAGAGTCACCAGCAACTGCTAACATTCTCTGGAGAGGAGGACTCTGACAACAGTGTTTTTTTTGGGGGGGAAGCATCCTCCCCTTCCACATCCGAACTCCCTGTTCCTTCTCCCGCCTTGAATACACCCCTCCATGGCCCCTCCCAGCCCAGCCCAGCCCAGAACCAGCTGTGCCTCCCACCTTCTCCAGTCCTGGGGCCACAGTTTGGAAACATTTCTGCACCCTCCCCAGTGATCCCTGTGTGGCAGAATACCAGGTGTATCACACCCATGTTTGGAGGGGCGTAAACTCACCCCAACGCTTGTCCTCCTCTGTCCCTGCAAGCACCTGCAAAGGGTGCACCCCATTGCCCCCCCCCCCAGACAGAAGAGTCAGACAACCAAGGCTGGGTAAAACTAAGGCCACTTTATTTAACATAATGAAAGTAACAGAAAGGGCAAACAGAGAACAGCGGCACAGTCAAGGCCTGGAGTCACCTTGACCCCATCTTTACTGTACAACAGGCAACTGTAAGTCGCTTGCAAACCCTGTCGGGCCCAGAGATTGGGATGCGCCTTGAGAATCCCTCCAACACCACTGCATGATCAGCATGGAGGATCCGTCGTGGCCATCCCCAAAGGCAGTCTGCAGTGCACGAGGCGGCAACTAAGAAGGGAGGAGCATAGCCAGCTGCTAAAGAGGCTCTGGCTCTGTCCCCCCCCAGAAGCCCAGCTGCAACTGCAGCCCTTCCTCTTCACGAGGAGACAAAGGCAGCCCTCCTTGAAGCATGCCGTTGGCTGCTTCAGGTAGGGCCGAAGTATGTTGCTGCCAGAAGAAAGAGTGGTGACCAGCAGAAGGAAGAAGAGGCACACTCCCTCTCAGCTGGGAGAAGTGGAGGGGTAGCAGGAGACCCCTCTGAGAAAAGCTCCCCACACTCGAGCTGCTATGGATGGGACATCAAGGTGGGCCACCCTCCAAGAGGTCAGAAGGGCTACGTGGAAGGCTACGTGGAAGGCCCAGGAAGCAGTTACTTGCCTCATCGTCAGTGAGATGATTGCTGTGGATGGCCAACCCTTCTCCGTCATGGAGGACATAGCCTTTTGCCGGCTGCAGTGGCAATGGTCAAAGCCTAGCTCTCCAGAGCACAAGGCAGAACAGTGCACTTCACAGCAGACCTCTGGAACAGCCAGCAGGACTGTTGGGCTATGGCCCAGGCCCCAAGAGCAGACAGTCCTGCTGCCAGGCTACAAAGCAGTTCTGCTCCATGTGCAGGGGGTGAATGCAGACCACAAAGTGCAAAACATCACCACCATGTGATATAGAGAAGCCTGAGGGAGGGAGTGGGTGGAGGCAACATCATCTATGGCTACATGGTCATGGATGCCAGCACCAACATGCTGGCAGAGGTGAAGCATGTGCGCCTCAAGGGCATCGTCTGCCTGATGCACATGTTTCAGCTGGTGGTGAAGGATGCTCTGGGGCTGGGGAGCGAGGAGGACTCTGACAACAGTGTTTTTTTTGGGGGGGAAGCATCCTCCCCTTCCACATCCGAACTCCCTGTTCCTTCTCCCGCCTTGAATACACCCCTCCATGGCCCCTCCCAGCCCAGCCCAGCCCAGAACCAGCTGTGCCTCCCACCTTCTCCAGTCCTGGGGCCACAGTTTGGAAACATTTCTGCACCCTCCCCAGTGATCCCTGTGTGGCAGAATACCAGGTGTATCACACCCATGTTTGGAGGGGCGTAAACTCACCCCAACGCTTGTCCTACTCTGTCCCTGCAAGCACCTGCAAAGGGTGCACCCCATTGCCCCCCCCCCCAGACAGAAGAGTCAGACAACCAAGGCTGGGTAAAACTAAGGCCACTTTATTTAACATAATGAAAGTAACAGAAAGGGCAAACAGAGAACAGCGGCACAGTCAAGGCCTGGAGTCACCTTGACCCCATCTTTACTGTACAACAGGCAACTGTAAGTCGCTTGCAAACCCTGTCGGGCCCAGAGATTGGGATGCGCCTTGAGAATCCCTCCAACCCCACTGCATGATCAGCATGGAGGATCCGTCGTGGCCATCCCCAAAGGCAGTCTGCAGTGCACGAGGCGGCAACTAAGAAGGGAGGAGCATAGCCAGCTGTTAAAGAGGCTCTGGCTCTGTCCCCCCCCAGAAGCCCAGGTGCAACTGCAGCCCTTCCTCTTCACGAGGAGACAAAGGCAGCCCTCCTTGAAGCATGCCGTTGGCTGCTTCAGGTAGGGCCGAAGTATGTTGCTGCCAGAAGAAAGAGTGGTGACCAGCAGAAGGAAGAAGAGGCACACTCCCTCTCAGCTGGGAGAAGTGGAGGGGTAGCAGGAGACCCCTCTGAGAAAAGCTCCCCACACTCGAGCTGCTATGGATGGGACATCAAGGTGGGCCACCCTCCAAGAGGTCAGAAGGGCTACGTGGAAGGCTACGTGGAAGGCCCAGGAAGCAGTTACTTGCCTCATCGTCAGTGAGATGATTGCTGTGGATGGCCAACCCTTCTCCGTCATGGAGGACATAGCCTTTTGCCGGCTGCAGTGGCAATGGTCAAAGCCTAGCTCTCCAGAGCACAAGGCAGAACAGTGCACTTCACAGCAGACCTCTGGAACAGCCAGCAGGACTGTTGGGCTATGGCCCAGGCCCCAAGAGCAGACAGTCCTGCTGCCAGGCTACAAAGCAGTTCTGCTCCATGTGCAGGGGGTGAATGCAGACCACAAAGTGCAAAACATCACCACCATGTGATATAGAGAAGCCTGAGGGAGGGAGTGGGTGGAGGCAACATCATCTATGGCTACATGGTCATGGATGCCAGCACCAACATGCTGGCAGAGGTGAAGCATGTGCGCCTCAAGGGCATCGTCTGCCTGATGCACATGTTTCAGCTGGTGGTGAAGGATGCTCTGGGGCTGGGGAGCACTATCAAGGCCATCTGGGATGCTGCCCCCCTCGAGATGTGGTCCTTGCTCGAGACTTGCTGGCACCTGGCCGCCGGCTTCCGGCCCAGCATCAAGTCTATTCATCTGCTGCACAAGAGGCAGGGGAAGGGGGATGAGGAACTCCACATAAACTATGATTACGCGTTTGGTGAAGCAGAAGAGCGTTGCACAGGATTTCATTTCCTCCATGACCATCTTGCATGGGTAAGAGGAGCTCAGCATCGGCTCCAACAATTGGCTGACCCTGTCCCAAATGGTGCGTGTCCTCAAGTCCTTCCAGGACACCACTGACATGCTCTGCATCCATATGGCTAGCCTGGGGCAAGTCATCCCCTTGATTTGAGGGCTGGACCAGGCATTGGATTCTGCACTGAACCTGACTGTTCTACTATGGGTCCTGACTGGAAGAGAGGTTGTAGGTAGGCATCACCACCATTTTACATTCCCCTCTACAATAAAGGGAAATATAAGCTGGTCTGTATCTGTGACTCCGGATAAAAGGCAACATTGCTCTCCTGAACGCAGAGCTCTTCCAATGAAAGCATGAGCTCTGCAAAGAAGTGAAGAGGCTACAGATCAACAGACATGGCTAGAGGAACCAGCAGGTGGAAGACGCTAGAGAGGAGAAGGAGGAGAGCTGCCTCAAAGAACCCAACAAGGGAGAAACCCCACTACTAGTTGTCAGTAGTGAACTGGGAGGTCAGCAGCAGAGGAGATGCCAGGCGTGCAATAGCAGAAGATTTGAATGAGGTGATGATCAATGCTCCCTCTAAGCTGTGGAGCCTTCTGAGCAAAAATTCTGCTTTGTGAGCTACTGGTGTTAAAGTTGTGAGTGAGCGATTTGGCTGCTGCATAAATTAGTTTGCTCTGGAACCACCCTTCCTGAGCTAAGACAAAACTGTGTGAGCCAGAGGCTAAAAAACTGTGAGCTAGCTCAACCTAACTCAGCTTAGAGGGAACACTGGTGATGATATGGGAGCACCTCGCCAAGTCCCCTGAGTACTGAGTACCACCGATCCCCTAGAGTGCTAGTCATGCAAGGCTATGATCTGGCCTGACCTCTCTTGTGTAGCCATGAGCCCTGAATCTACCTAACTGTCAGCTAGCTGCCATGTTTCACTTGTGTTTGTTCTTTCCTGACTGTGGTGCGAGTGCGCATGCTTGCTTGCTTGCTTTGCTTGCTTGCTGTAAACAGCGATAGGGAGGCGCTCATGAGACCATGCGAACTGGCGCTGCCAGACTGAGTTATTTGACTAACCTTGAGGAGGAGGGAGGGCTTGCGTTCCACTGATGGTGTGAATATTTCTGCTCTCATGGGGCACGGAGAGTATCCCATTCATTATGTAACCTCCCGCCGGGAGAATTCCCGCGCGCGTGCTTGGATTTAATTTGCTTAGCCAATTGCAGCATCATGTTATATGTAGTGATGCATCCACCCCATTGTCATTCCTAACAATATACCTGTAGATCATAGCAACAGACCTGTAGTCTAGTAAAGCATAACGATTCCCTGGAAACGTGTGTGGAGATTTGCATGCTGTTGAACCTGACACTAACACCCAAACCCCAGCAGGATATAGAAGTTCACAATCAGGAGAGTATAAAATGTGGGTCCTCAGCCATGGCACCCAGCAGCTAAGCTCCACAGCTCGGTGTGAGCAGAGAGATGGGGTGGCTCAGAGCCCTGAGTCCACCTAACACTCAAACCCCAACAGGGAAGAGGCATTCACAATCAGGAGGAAATAAATGAATGCACTCCGTTAGTCAGCTTTTAACAAGTTCCCTGCCTCTCTGTGTAACTGCGAACAGCCAACAGACATGAGGGTGTGGAGCTGAGCTGAGCATATATACAGCTTTCTGATCTCATAGAGCAGAATGGGAACTCTGTTATTGGCAGCCAGCAGTGCCTGTTAAGCTTTGGAGGGCTCCTATTGGTTTTTCCAAGGCTGGAGAATTCCACCTCACCTGTTGCCCTGGAATTCTGTGAACACTTTAAACAGTTGTAAACAGTCTGTCTGGAAAATTATCCATCCATGAACTGCCACAAACAGCACCTAAGTTCGTGGAATGTTCATGCCAGTATGCCAGTCACCCCACCACGAACATCGCTTTGCAAACCACGAACCTGTCAAAATTTGTGACAAACTTTATTTCGTGAGCCTGTTCGTGCCCATCCCCGCACCGGAATGCAAACTTGTTATATACAGTTTATGGGCTGCTAAACAACCTTTATTTTTCCTCCTGAGAAATACTTCAAAAACAAGAGTAATCCACCCATCTTAATGCTTTAAAGTAATTGCAACCATCTAAATACCCAAGCATCTTCCACACAGATATGAGAACACTTGGCAATATTCCTATGGATTTCTGGATTTCTTCTTGTAAAATTGCAGGACCTGCAACCCATTAGCAATAGATTCCACAACAGCCTTAATGAGATTAATCAGAGTAGGGGATAGGACCTAATTTTGATGCAGTTTATTTATTAGGAGGTTTGGTACTAGGGGTACTGGATCTCCATGGTGCAGTGGGAGCAAAATGGGAGGGGGGAATTAGCCTCATGCCAACACTGCAATGTCATTTCTGACACATGCCTGGATGTGACACTGCTGATTACATTGTCCCTACCCTCCAGAGCTTGGGCTATAACCCTATTTTGTATTGGCTTGGTGATCTACAAGAACATATTGTTCTGCTGGGTTTTACACTTTTAATTTGCACAGAACATGTATTTATACACTCAGGCAAGCACAGACCTTTGTGAAATATGCTGGTGCACGCGCTAGTGCACCAGTTTTCAAATTGTAGCCCAATGGGGTTTTCCCCCAGTGCAGGACCCCCCAAAATCCCACCTGGTAAGGAAGCTGGGCTGCTGTGGCTTCTGTCTGGGTTCTGAGAGGACTGCCATCTTTCTCTCTTGCTCTCTTCCTGTCTCCTCCCACCCCCATGCTTGCCCATAGACTTTCCTGGAGCAGGAGGGCAGGCAGAAGGGAGGAAGGAGAGGAGGGCCAGATGAGGCAGGAAAAAGTTTGCAGGTCCTCTGGAAAAGGGCTTTTCCATGTGGCAAGACTGGAGGGAAAAGAAAAAAATGAAAAGCGGCTACTGCTCTCCTTGTGCTGGGGACTTGAAGGGTGTATTTAGTAATGGAAGCTGAGGTGGGTGAGTTCGGGACGCGTGATTCCCAAGTGAGCAGGGGAGAAGAGAGAGAAATGCCTGCAGCCTGTGCTGGTGGGGCTCCTTTCCCTTCCCTTCCCTACTGCTTTGGGCAGGCAAGAGGTATCCCTGGGGCTGGGCTCTGTGGCGCAGGTCTGGCACTTCAGTGTGTGTGTGTGGGGGGGTCTGGTTTGACTTCAGAGCAAGTGGGGGTGGCTTCTTTTAGTATGACTGGCAAAGGCATCGCAGGAAGGAGAGCAGGTTTTTAAATTAGCCCCTCCCCCCGGTTGGAAATGCTGGGAGAGGGTGAGTTGGTGGTGGGGCTGCCTCTGCAGGAGCTGGTCAGCGGCAACCCATCTGTGGATTTTGTGTTCTTCTCCCCACCTTTTATATCCCCCCAACTATGCCTTTTGATGTTCTTTTCTCTTCAATTTCGAAGCCTTTTCTATCTCTTTTCTTCTCCTTCCACTGCATCCCCCTTTTCAGATTGCTTTTTATGTTCAGCCCTTCCCGCCTTTCCCTTTCTCCCCCCCCCCCATAAACCCTAACCCCCATGTATTTCATTTCATTTCAGAGTAGCAAGGAAATGATCCCAATGCTTCCCTGGCTGTAGTCTTTAATCCATGTTTGCAAATGAATTCTTTGCACGTGGTTTATACTGGAGGAAGTCCATCTCTCCTCCCCCCTGCTGCTTTCAGTTGGTTTTATTTATTAAATTTCTTGGTCTCTTACTCCCCGCAAAGGGTCTTGCTTTTGTCATGTTGTGGTATATTCATTGTATACATGTATATATGTAATGAAACAGTCTGCTCTTCCCCTAATATCTGTGTGATTTAGTTTGGTCCTGTTGGGTGGAGCTCTTGTTTCAGTTTCAGTTTGTATATGCTAAATGAACTCGAGAACAGGTGGCTGAGTGAGTTCTCTAGCCTGGAAACCCACATACAAAGGGGGACATTACAAATGTAAGCCTTCAAGCTCCTTTGTAACTGCTGGTGGGGGGGATTTGGAACTTGGGGGGAAGCAAACGGGCACAAAGGATTTCATTTTCTTTCCCTTTCTTTCCATTTTTTCTTCCCCTTTCTTTGTTTTCTTTCCATTCTTTCCCTTCCTTTTTCTTTCCCTTTCCCCCCATTTCTCTCTGCCCCTTTCCTTCCCTTTCTTTATGTCTCTTTCTTTCTCCCCCCTCAGTTCTTTCTTTAAAATCCTTCCCTATCTTTCTTTCTCTTTCTTTCCATTTCTTCATGTTTGTATGTTTTGTATATTTGTAAACTGAAATTTTAAAACTCAAAAAAAATTAAGCTCTCACAACTTTTACACTTGTAGATGTTTTGGCTCATGACATAGAATTTTTGCTCACAACAGTTGGCAACACCCTGTGAGAGTACCTTCAATTGGGCCTCGTATCCCTGGTTTGGGAGGGGAGCGAGCCTTAAAGAGGGAGTGCACCACACCACCACAGGTGGACAAAATGGCATGCCTAGAGTTTCCAACTATTCGGCATATTTATTCCATTTAAAATTATAAATGCCTTATTTTTCCATAAGCAAAATTGCAAATACAGCAATTCTAAAGAGTGACCATTGAAAAGAGAAAGTGCACATTTTATAAATAAAATTGAGTGTTATTTGGTCAGAAACAGTCTCATAGTCAACAGAGGACTAGCACAATAACTGAATACTGAGGTACACTTCTATTCAATAGTGTATTTATCATACACAGGGCTATTTTTGGGCAGGAACGCACAGAAACGGAGTTCCAGCTGGCTCCCAAGTTGGCCACGCCCAGCAGGAACTCATTAGCATAATAGGCCACACCCAACAGCAGAAACTCATTAGGATTGGCTACATTAGGGGCGTGTGGCCTAACATGCAAAGGAGTTCCTGCTACAAAAAAAGGCCCTGGGTTTTGACAACAAACAAGGTAAACAGAATAACAAGCAAAAGGTGGGTGTGGCTGGATAACCACACTTCTGGTAACATGGGGGTGCGGCCTAATGTGCTAATGAGCTGTGCTGTCAGGGGTGTGGCCCAATATGCTAATGAGCTCCTGCTGTTGGGTGTGGCCTGTTATGCTAATGAGTTCCTGCTGGGCTTTTTCTACAAAAAGAGCCCTGATTTATACATATTGTACTAAATAACTGATTGTGGACAAAACTATCATTCTCTAATGCTGCAGACTGTCTTACAAAAAAATCATACTTTAAATTCTGAGTGAGTAAACCCTTACCTTAAATTATTTAATTTATTGCAAAAGAGAAAAATATTGTATAGATGTTTTCAAAATTTATTATTTTTCCACAAGAAGAAAATGAAAAAAACCCTATAGGTAACTTCCCCCCCCTTATTTTTCCAGGTTCTTTCTCAACTTTCATATCTTCTAAATAAACTTCCACACTCAAGGATCCCTGCTTTGCACATGTTGTGTTTTATACACATCTCCATCCCCAGTGGCTGTGAAGGACAAATTATATACATACTGTTTATGAGTTCCTTATGTTCTGTAAGAGTCTTTCCAGGATCCAGCCAGTACTGTGAGAATATTAACAGAAATGGTCATTTTGTTGTGGCATATTATTCAAACATACATTTCAAAATATACATTGCTATATATATTTACAAGCAATGCCATAGCTTTTCTCTTGAAAGAATACCATCAACTAAAAACCAAGCAGTAGTTACTATAGAACAGCCTGCTATGGTTATGCAAAAAAACCCCAACAACAAATCTTGTTCCATCCCAAATTCTGTAAACCTAGACTAACATACACAAAACAAAATCATACATCAAAAGTTAATTGCACCCATTAATGTGATATTCAGGGCTCCAATAAACAAAACACTGGAAATTCCTCCTACTCAGAGGACATTTTTGATAAATGGGTACTTCCCATAATCCTAGAGAGGCAGGAAGTTTATTGCAAATTTTTCCCTCTGCCTTACAGGAAGTACCCACCAAGAGCTTCCAGTTTGGAGGCTTCCACAGCTCGTATAAGCAGTCTTTCAGAAAAAATGTACAAGTTAAATATGTAGAGGGGGGGAGTAGGGGTTTGCGTTTGGTATAAGCCAAACCAAATAAATACCAAAAAAATACCTTATCGGGTATTTGTTAAGCCGAATACAGATCAGAAATCTGTATTTGGCTACCAATATGGCTCAACCTCAATCGCTCAGGAGTGACAAAACCCAATACCTTCCTTCTCTCCATTGGCTGTCTCCTCCCCCCTTCCTTTGGGGATGGAAACAGAGAGAGACAGAGAGAGAGTGCACTTGAGAGGAGCAAAGTCCAAGTCCCACGGTACCTTTAAATGACCAACAATGTTTTATTTCAGGTATAAACTTTCATGTGCACACATACTCCGTCTCCAAGGCAGCTGCTGCATTGCAGACCGGCTCTCTCAATTGTGTGGAAGAGACAAAAACCCAAACTTCCTTCCTTCCATTGGTTGTTTTATTTCAGGCAGCTGGGAACTCCTTCGTAATAACATTCAGTTGGCTTCGAGCTGCTGTTTGTGGTTGCTTTTCCCTTGTGTTACAGTACAGAATTAAGGTTCCCGGGCTGGTTGCTGAAGGAAGGAGTTTCTCAGCTTTGGGCGTTATTGTTGGGCATATTCAACAGCCTTACTCTTATGTGTTAACTCTGAAGTTTGTGAGTGGGGCTTGACCTGAAGTTTTGGGGGAGTGGAGCCTGAGGACAGTGGAGTTTGGGGAGGATAGGGACTTCAATGGGGTATAATGCATACAGTCCACCTTCCATAGTGGTCATTTTCTTGAAGTGAACTGATCTCTGTCACCTGGAGATCCACTGTAATCCCAGGAGATCACCAGCCATCACCTGGAGGTTGGCAGCCCTAGTTTTGGGCCCCTGCAACACTGTTCATTAGCAGATTCCCCACCAGCAGCAGCTTATAAATACAAGCACTACCAATCCCTCTACGTATTACACCTAATCCAATCAAGCCTACTATTGTCATTCATCTGCTATTGCCATTTGGCATCAGAAATCACCTTTATAATTTTACTAGGAATAAGGCCCGTTGTGGAAATAAATACAACGAGCTCTAGAAAGAGGCTCTGAGAGAGTGCTCCGGCCTTGGGCACGCAGCGTCAATTTGCTGTGGCAACCTCAGCAGGGTATAATGACACAGAGTCCACCATTTTCTCCAGGGGAACTGATCTCTGCCATCTAAAGAGCAGTTGTAATTCTGCGTGATCTCCATCCCTCACCTGGACACTGGCAACAATGGTTCCCCATGAGGGAATGGCTGGTTTGGAGGGTGGAGTCTATGGCACTGTGCCTGTCTGAGGTCAAACCTCACCCTCTCCAGGCTCCATCCCTTAAATCTCCAGGAATTTTCCACCTGGAGTTGGCAACCCTATCAAGACTGGCCCCAATGAGTTTTATCCCAAAGGCCAAAATAGGTGTGGAAGTGGCCTTTTACTGACAGAACTTGGATGCCTAGCAACAGGAACTGCGGAGAAAGTACAGTTGCCAGCTCTGATTAGGGAAATACCTGGAGATTTGGGGGGGGATCCTGTGGAGGGCAGCATGGAGGGGGATGGAAGGAATCAGCAGGGTATAATGCCATAGGGTCTACCCTCCAAAGCAGCCATTTTCTCCAAGGGAACTGATCTCTGTCATCTGGAGATCAATTGTAACAGTGTGAGATCTCCAGGTCCCCCTGGAGACTGGCAACCCTAGACGGAAATCAGCCACACAGCAGGGGGTTGAAGAGAATGGTTTGATGGTCGCTGGCCCACCTCATTAGCCAGCCAG